GAGCGGAAGTCAGCGATACTACAGAAATAAATTCAGAGCAGGGTACTGCAACTGTGTGCTACAGTCTCTCTAATCACATGTCCACTGTGCCTGAGAGGCAACATTCATAGTTATTTCTAAGGACTGAGTGCTTTCAAGGTTTTGTGAAAGGTGGTGGTGGAGAGATTTTTGTATACCTGGTTCATAAGATCAGGAGGAAAAAAAAAAAAAAAGCTCAGGAGGAAGCCACACACCGCCCATGACTCTTACTCTCAGAGCAAAATCGATGTGCCTTCCATCAGCCTCAGGGACTCTGTATGCTTCCCTTCAAAGCCCCAGTGATTGGCAAGGCAAGCTCAGTGAGGTCTTCAGAGAGGCAGGGCGGGCCTGAGGGCAACCCAGCCAATGGTTCAGGCTGCCTGAGATGGGTGCTGACCCTGCCTGTGCTGGCCACAAATGGGTGGCCATGATTCTAAAGAACAATTGAGGAACAATTGAGTTGTGGTCTGAAATGAAGATCCATGGAGAGGAAAAAAAGAGAGCTTTGCTTGCTTTGAAAAAATAGATTTAAAAACTGTACAGCAAATCATGCCATCATAATAACATAAAGGCAACAAAAAATATCATTGGATTCCTCTGTGCACCAAGAATGTATATGCAGTGCACGAACTGTTATTACCTTCAGCCTTCTGGGACAAACCTGCTCGTTTTGACATGCACTGGGCTGTACTCAGGAGTCTAAACCATGTCCGCCAGATCAGACTGTTAGTGTTCTGAATGTGGCTTTGGTCCTTTCCAAAGCCTGGGCCTTTTCACACTTTGTTGTCAGCCTTGCTGAATTAAGAGAGGAGATGGCACTTGAGAGGGGCCACTGCTGAGCAACATTTTCATAGAGAGGCTTCGATTGTTCAGGTCCTTGAGTTGGTCTCGGGGCTTGAAGGACTTTAGAAGATGCATTGCTGCGTTGCAGCCACTTAGGTGTTCATCCCCATAGGCGATCGAAGTCAACAGTGAAAGAGACTTCCAGCTCTAGAGGAGCCCATGTTTGAACACCACTGATTCCTGGGAGGACCCTTATGTTAATAAGCTGAAGTCCCCAGGACTCCTTTCATGAGTGCTCTCTGTGCTCCATGAAAAGGTGTTGGAGTTTTCAGATCTCAATTCCCACCAAATGAGACACTTGGTCACTGGAAATGCTCATTTATGTGTCTCCTGTAAGATATGTTTCTGTAGAAGCTTACTTAAGGGTCAAGTTAACTAGCTTCTGAAATGCAATTGTCCCATTTGCTGGCTCTGTGATCTTGGTCAAACTCTAGCTAGCTAGCTTTCTGGATAGTTTTCTCATCACCAACTTAGAAACAACACAATTTACTGTGTTGGACTGTTGTAAATATCAAAGATAATATATGAAATGTATTGCTGTAAACATGAGCAGTGGCTGGTATTAGTACGGGAACACAGCTCTGGAGTCAATTGGAGTTCCAGCCTAACTATGTGATCTAGAACAGGGATGTAAATTCCTTAAGTGCATGTTTCCCCCACCTAAAAAGCTGGTCTCAACAGCATTTGCCTGGAAGGGTTAGAATATTGAGTCCAGACATGAGAGTTTAGAGTGGTAGCAAAATCTCTGAAAACTTACATTCTGTAACTGAGTACCACACAGGTTACAGTGCAGCAGCTCCTGAGTAGAAGCAATTCTCTGAACAGGTGCTAAAGAGCACTCATTTTGGAAAGGATACTGAAGGTCAAAGAGGTTAATGGTTTTCCTGGACCACACAGCTTTAAGGGGGTTAAAGAGGACTAGATTGTAGGCCCAGATCACTGTCAAGATTTCCCACATAGTGGCAATTCTCTTTCATAGTACTATTATTAAGACGCTCATCCAAGGCCATTTCTCAGTGGGCTCAGGATAGCCAAGACTGTCCAGTATGGTCCCAGCTGGTATGGTAGGCCTCACCTTTAACCTCATCCTTATAAATTTTTGTCTCCCTTTTCAACCCTGACCTATGACTTGACTATGATAACAGCAACTTGAGGGATTATCCCAGAAAGCGGTGCCAGGTGGTGTGGTGGTGACCCAGATGATAGATAGCACTGACTGACAGTCAAGCCTATATTTGGTGTCCCACCTCCAATGACCCTTGACAGTCCCAAGCAACACTGATAAACAAATGGCCCATCTCTTGGTACTGTGCCAAAGCAAATACTCATCCTAAGCCCAGCTCTGGGTGTTGAAACACAGCTATTCCAAAACAATGCAGAAGCCAAAAAGGCTATTTGCAAGCCAGGACCGAAATGTACTTTCAAATTTCAGTGACTTAATTAGCACAGTGGTAGTGTTTGATTAACCTGCAATAAAGAAAACAAATAGCTCAAACTGCTATAAATTTCCACCATATTTCCATGACCTTCACAATGGTCCTGTGCACAAGACAATGTTAACATTTATTTTCTGCAAGTTCAAATGATAAATGACAGTCAGAACCCACGCTTTCTGGCCTGTGAGCACTGGAAGAGAAACCAAAGACTTTCCTTGCAGAGTTTCCGCTGCTGTGTTCCCTGCCTCAGGTAGGAATGCACAGATATTAGGCAAATTTTTGTGTGTTTCTATTTTGGGTTTTGAATCCTGATATATGTAAGGCATAGAGTTATGATCACTTACAAATGAGGTTGTTGAGATGCATTAGGTGATAAGGAGATATTATATATATGTAATCTTATCCTCATTTTGAAAAGTATGCTTAGGATATACATACATGCATACACGCATGCATGCGCACACATGCACACACACATACACACACACAGATGCACACACACACACACACACACACACACACACACACACACACCTATGCTCTCCCATTAAACTTTCTGGGCATGCCGATGAAATTACTGACAATATGAAATGAGAAATCTGACCCGAGGTTGTTTTCACTAAAAGTTTCCACATCATTAATTCCACAAGAGTCACTGTCGTGTTCTCAGTGGAAATGTATTATGTTTCTCCTGTTTGTATTATGTTGAAACTCAAGATCAAAATGACCATAAACAAAATTATGTGATTCCACTCTTTTCTGAAAATCATATTATCTTTTATAAGGGAAGGACAGAACTGGGAATAAGAAATTAGCTAAGAATTAACCCTAGATGTTTGCTTTTAATGTAGCCATAAAATGAATATGCTAGACAATTTGCAAAATTCATTCTAATGCAAGTCTATAGTTTGAATGGAATCCAATAGAACTATTTAGGCTGTTTTCTTGAGATATGAAGTTATTACGCCCTTTTGCTTACTTCTTTAATCTTCCTGAAATGTTCCCCCACCTTTTTTTTTTTTTTTTTTTTTTTGTATATGCTGGACTCCTGGACTCCTGCTCTCCTTTAAAAACTGTCTGAATATGGTCTCTTCTGTGACCTGCAGCTCACTGCTGTTCTCTTGTCTTAGTTACCAGAGCACTCTGGTCCATGGTGTTCTGGCTCCTGTCTGCTTTCCTCACTGGAACGTAGGCTTCTCAGTGCCGCGGACACAAGTCACTCATTCTTCTATGTTCTTGCCTTGATCCACTATTTGGTACTCAGTACAGTGTACCAGATAGGCAGGTAGTAAGCACTCCGGTGAGTGAGTGAGCGAGTGAGCGAGTGAGTGAGTGAATGAATGCAGAATTGATTTTACACTTTCATTCCACTCAGTAAACTGAATGGCAGAAGAGAAAGTTCTACAAAATCTTTCTTTGTTTTGAAGTTGTTTCCCAACATTTTTCTAAATAAACAGAGAAGACAGAAAGAAAGCATGGGCTGTTCAAGACGACCTCTGAAGGGAAAGGCATTTCAGGGGATGCTCAGATAGGCACAGTCCCTTCAGCCCAGTGTCAGGTTCAGTGGTATGTTTTCTGTTTACTTTTTGTTTCTAAGGAAAAACCATCCTTGTTATGAGACTGTGAGACTCAACTGGGAGAGCTGACCCAAGAGGGCTTAGTGCTAATTGCGACTGAGGGAAGGCCAGGACAGCTCTTAAGAGTGGCCTGATAGTGTTTAGTGTCCGTGATATCATGACGCATCAAGCTTCCAAAAAGCCAAAGGATCGTGGGTCCATGAAAACTGTGGCTTGCTCTTTATTAGCAGTTCTTAAACATCATCCTCCAGTGAAAAGCTGGGGGAAGAGAGGTGTGGCTGCAGGCAGAATGTGTCTCAAGGGTGCACGGGAACAGGTCAGCACTGTCTCTCATGAGCCCCCTGAGTTCTTAAGTCCCTTCCCACACACTGAAACATCTGGTGCCCTAAACAACACTGTGACACCCTGAGAAAAATGTGGGGGATGAGATGAGGTAGGAAAAAATTCTGCAGCTCCTCTACATGCTCATAGCATGCTGAGGGCAGCTGAGAGCACAGTCTATCTTCCCGGATTGCTGAACTGCTACAGTGCCGAACTATATGGCCCACAATGGTGTCCCTCAATGGCAGACATGAGGAGCAACACTCAGCAAGAGAATTTACATATTTTGCCAGCTGGATAAGCTAAAACTCTAAGCCACTATTCACAGCATCAATACTGCCTGCTCTGAGGTATTCCAAACCAGAACCTCACTGTATCCAGATCTGAGATGGGCTGGGGAAAGCTGAGCCAGACAAGAGCACATCATGTTCAGAAGCTAAGCCTACTTCCAATGAGATAACTTTCAAACTTTAGATGACAAAAAATAGTATTGGCATACAATTTTATGTACATAAGACTATTGATCTATTCCATCCAGGAACCCTGGGAGATACATAGGGACAGATATTGATGAAATTTAACTAAGCTGACTCAACAAATGGATTTCTCAAGACCTCCAGTGTCAGAGCTATTTGTAGAAGGTAGCCATTTGCTGAGTGAGTGAATGAGTGAGTGACCGAATGAATCAGGCTGTCCCTTGGTCCTCAGATCACTGTAGTTCTAGGTCAGTTTACCCTTAATGTCATCTAAACCTAAGGTATTTGCTTGATATCTTCTTAGATTGACCTTGGCCAGAGTCTTCACCATGCCGAACTGGGGCGGAGGTGCAAAATGTGGAGCCTGTGAAAAGACAGTTTACCATGCAGAAGAAATCCAGTGCAATGGGAGGAGTTTCCACAAGACCTGTTTCCACTGCAGTGAGTTGGACATATCCCCATGAGGGGACACTGGTGTCTCAGAGGTGGGGGCGGGATCTGAGTTCTCACGTAATCCTAATACTGCCTGTCAGTGTTTCTCACAGTGTGGCAGCATGAAGGAGCTTGATCAGGAAGCTGTGAGAAACAGTGCCTGTGGACTCTACTTGAAGAACAGTGCTCCCTTGAGCACTTTCTCAGCCATGCACCAACTTAGAGGTGCTTTCACCAAGCTCAAAGTGTGGACAAGTGGGCCTGGCCCTGATCTCTGAGACATTCGCAAAGTATGACTTGGCAGAGAAAGGAAACTAGCAGTTGTCTGGAGCCAAACTAGATTTGGCTTTGTGTGGCCCTGGTCTGTTGTCACTTATGCCAGCCGTGGCTGGTCTTCCTAAGGACTGAGGTCAGGCCTTGGGCAGCACATGCTATTTCTGTATGTTTCAGGCTTAGGCATCAGAACTTCATAAAGGAACTCTTTTACCATCAGGTGCCAGGCAGATCTGCAAATGCACAAATTGAGGGAGCTCTGCGCTAATGTGATCTTCCTGAGGGTCTGTTGCATGGCTTTGGTGAAGTCATTTCTCATCTCTAACTCCATGTGGCATGTACCTGCATCAGAGTGAGGGCTACATCCTGCACTTTGAGAATCCCACTCCAGTGCTCCTCGACATCACTTTCTGCAGTTTCCTAGCACGTAGTCCTTTTCTGGGAGAAATAGGCCATGGCTCTGAGATGGCTACTTCTCTGCTTCTAGGCTAAAGCAATGGCTCATAGGTTAGCTTTTATCAGCTACCTAGCTCTATCAGTTCTCACCCTCACGCCCCACCCTAGTGGTTGCAAACAGAATTTCAGTGCGCATGTTTCAAATGTGAGGGCTGAGTTGTAACTCCAATTGTATCTGTAGAAACAGTGACATGTTATTTTCTCAGTTGCAGTTTCTTGGTTCCTCCCCTCCTCAGCAAACATATTTATAGGGGAAAAAGTGACTCTTCTGGGTGATTAAGTTGACAAAATCACTGATGCTTTTGGTTTTAATGATGGTCAATATTTTTAAAGTCATCTTCTACATCCCTCATAGTCACCATTGTTCATTTATGATTATCTAGAACTTACTCTCCATTCCACAGCCTTTGGTGTTTCTCTAAAAATAGTCAGTGTTCTTTAAAGCGAATAGAATTTAGAAAGAATACTGGACTTAGACAAGAAGTAAGCTTTGAATCTAGGCTTTTCCATTCACTGTGTAACTTGGGAAGTTGTTTTACCATGGTGGGCTTCAGTTTCTCTATCCACAAGATGAGCATGGTTTGTTATAGGAGAAAACTGGGATCCCACACCTGGAAATCCAGTCTTCCAGCTTTGTCTTGCTTTTATTATTTAATGTTGATGTCTGTGTAGGACAGACATGGAAGTTTCCCACTGGGCGTTGTCTTGCCTTCCCAGTGGAAGACTCTGGCTGTGCTCAGTGGGGCCACAGAAGAGTTTTCCTGAGCACTTGGTAGCATATCCCATTTGACCCAGCTCATGAGTTGGATGAGAGCTCAGAGAACGGGCTTCAGTTGTGTGGACAGGGGCCTCTGGAGAGAGGAACACATTTATATATTTTCTCCACAAAATTTGCTGGACTCCAGCCAAGCTTCTGGTGGCAGGAAAGAGGGCCAAGCGGGGCAGCTCGATCCCAGTTTATTCTACCGGTGTTGTTCTGACTTTTAGATAAACTCCAGAGCTGATTGAGCTTTCCATTTCAGTCTATCCAGAAGAAATGCATGTAAAGCATACATGTAGCATTCCACGGAACTTTTCATCACACAAACCATCCATGTAACATTCCACAGAACTCTTCATCATGTAAAGCATACATGTAACATTCCACAGAACTCTTATCATACAAACCAGATTGTAACATTCCACAGAACTCTTCATCATGTAAAGTATACCAATAAGAGACTAGGTAAAATCATTTTTGAAATATCTCATTGAACGCAATATGTATGAGACACAGGTCCAATCGGTACGTCTCATTACTCATGAGATATTTTACATTCTCTTAGTGTTTGCACTGTTTGAAGTTGGGTATGATTTTGTGAACCTATAAGCATATCACATATGGCCGGCTGCCATGGTACTGGATAGCACAGTTCTCTACTGCTGTGAACAAAAGTTCCTTGGGTCCAGCAAGATGACCTGAGTTCAATTCCTGGGACTCATATGGAAGAGGGAAAGAAACATTTCCTGCAGGTTATCCTCTGACTTCCACTTACATGCTATCACACACACACACACACACACACACACACACACACACACACACACTCACTCACTCACTGAATAAAGTATAATTTTTTAATAAAAAGCTCTTTGGAAGCCAGAATTGGCCAGGACTTGTGAGGTATTCTTCACAAGCTGTCATGGTGAGCTGAGAGTGAGAACTAAGTCACAGGAACTGAGATCAGCGACAGCTCTGGAGCTCACAGCTGAGCAACAGAGGAAGTCACTGCTATTTAACAAACAGTAAATTCACTCAGCCAGTCATTCACCAGACTTTTGCAGCACCGGGCCCTCTGTTATGGTCTGGAGATATTAAGGTAGACTGTCTTAATATCTGGAACTCAGCATGTAAACCATCAGCAGATGTGTGAGCAACTGTGGAGGGTGCTAACTGAGGCCAACATGGGTGTCTGCCTCCTATGCCCAGGGTAAAGTGTTTCCCCTAAATTATTCTTCAAATAAAATTTTATTCTCCCCCCCCCCAAAGATTTATTTATTATTTATATAGTATTCTGCCTGTATGTGAGCCAGCAGGCCAGAAGAGGGCACTGGATCTCACTATAGATGGTTATAAGCCACCATGTGGTTGCTGGGAATTGAGTTCAGGACCTTTGGAAGAGCAGCCAGTGCTCTTAACTTCTGAGCCATCTCTACAGCTCCCAAAATTTTGTTCTTTCTTCAAAGCATTTTAAGGTTTCTTGTGCTATTGGACACCCTCTCAATGACTTAATTTGTTTTTGTTTTGTTTTTAGCCAAGAGTTAAAAAAATTATTTATTCACTTTATATCCTGATTGCAGCCCTCATCCTCTCCTTGCAGTCTTCTGCTCGCAGACTCCTTACTCTACTCTCCCTTCTTTTTATCCTCAGAGATCGGGGAGGTCCTCCATGGCTACCAACCTTCCTTGCACATTAAGTCTCTGCAGGCCTAGGTGCATCCTCTCCCATTGAGGAGCAAATGATTTTTAACCTTAGACACTTGAATAAATTCTCTCCCATACTTCTGTCTTCCAAGCTTCACAGCCATTAGCCTCTGGCTCATTCTACTTCATTCATAACCTCAGCTTCTTCTTTTACGCCTGTTCCAATTACCTTATTTTTTAACAACAAAACGCCACTTCAGAAGGCATGTTAACCTGCAGCAGTCTCATTTACGTCAGATCGCTTACACAGATTAATGGGTGCAACTGCTTTTTCTTTCTTTCTTTTTTTAAAGAAACAAATAAATTGAATGGACATGTCTTATTATTTCTGAGGCTATGCTCTCATTTAAAGATTACCAGTATAAACATGTAATTATCATGACTGTAAAGCACTACAGCATTTTGTTAAGTTGTGGAAACTCTTTACACTGTACACTGCCTTAGTGTTATGGTAGTTAATAGACTCTGTATTCTGAGACTGTTTTCATGTTGTAGCCTCCTTGTCAGGGACCAAACAAGGGCTTCCTGCTAGGGGCCCAGAACAGACCTAAGTGAACATGAGCTGTTCGGGGAAGCTAGTTACAATCAGCTGTCCCAAAAGGGAGTGGTTGGGAGTAGGATGCAAAGGAAGAATGGGATCCCCGAGTTTGTGTTAGATTATGAATAAATAGCATCTCCAAATTTTTGGTGTGTATTATTAAATATTATAAGATGATTTGACAGTTTAATTTACATCTTTTAAAGTTCCACCCTCAGGATTGCTTGTGTAACTCAGCAATAAGTAGCTTGGTTGGTATGACTAAGGCCCTGGTTTAAATTCCCATCCCCATCCCCATACACATGCAGGTACGCAGGTATGCATGCACAAAGCTTTTCCAAGTTTGAAAAACAAAACTTCTTGTAAACTTTATCTTTGATTAAGTTAGCTTATTTTTGGAGACAAATGACATGAGGTGAGTAGTATATAGTAGCAAGGCAGCTCGAGCCAATGGGAAACTAAGGGAAGCAGTGAGCCACTGTGCTCCTTCTGTTCCATCCGTGATTCCAGAACTGGACACAATATTGAAGTGCTCTTCCACAACTTTGATGAAGGGCAGTGGTGGCACATGCCTTTAATCCCAGCACTTGGTGGGCAGAGGCAGAGGCAGGAGTATTTCTGAGTTTGAAGCCAGTCTGGTCTACCGAGCTAGTTCTAGGACACCAAGGCTACACAAAGAAACCCTGTCTCACAAAACCACAAGCGAATAAACAGACACCTTGGCTGCCAGCCCAGACTTCCCTGATGCCATTCAGCATGATTCATTAGTTGGTCAGGAACACTGTTGCTAATCAGGCCCAAGACCGTGTACTTGGTTGCAGTGCTGACTGCCAGAGGTATACCCTCTTCCAGCTGGGTATACCAAACATACCACTTCTCTTCTCTGAGCCCCTTTCCTTATCTGCAAAATCAGGACTCTCCGGGAGTGACTCGAGACAGATGCTCCACGTATGCCAGTGATCATAGCCATGTCCTCGGCCGGGGGCTCTGAACATAGCATCAGGTGCAGAACAGAGAGATGGAGAGAGGTCGAGCCGGACTCTTTCTTTCTTCTGCAGTGGCCTGCAGGAAGGCTCTGGACAGCACCACTGTCGCAGCTCATGAGTCAGAGATCTACTGCAAGGTTTGCTACGGGCGCAGGTACGGCCCCAAGGGGATCGGGTTTGGACAAGGCGCCGGCTGCCTCAGCACCGACACTGGCGAGCACCTCGGCCTGCAGTTCCAACAGTAAGTTACCGCTGTGCTTCTTTCTTCTCTGCTCATCTCCAATTATTGAGACAGTTCATTCTGTTCCCATAGCAACATTTTCTGGAAGTGGGAGAATGGACTCCATTGTTGACTTGCCAACAATAGGAATATTCACCGACCAAGGTCCTAACAATGTATTGTCTCTGAAGACTTTCTTTAAATTATCCACCTTTCTAAAGGCAATTACTTTTACATGATAGTCCTCAGTTTGCATGTCAAGAGAAAACCAAGAATGTGCAGATGTTACATTATTTGACCTTTGCAAACTGTATGAACTCTCTTTTCTTCCCCTTCCAGAGCTTCTGTGTAAATCATATAAATGTGGCAGGAAAGCAATGGTCATTCTCTGCGTGCTTGTCATTAAAGATTTCTTTCCTAGGTTGTAAAAAGAGCAACATCTGCAATGCTCCGGGGAGGGTGTGAGGATGACGGTTTCGTGGGTTTCCCTGGCTGCCTGCTGCCCACACAGCATCCATCACAATCCTAAAGGTGTGGGAAATCACAGCGGCCACTGCCATCTCAGTCTGCTCCCCTGGCTTCACTGTTGATCACCACTGACCATGAGCCAGAACTGAAAGCAGTCTGACGGTGGCTGGTCCGCAGCTGCTGTCTGGCCAGCTGGTATCTGTCTGGACTCAGCCCTGTGGCGATTGGCCAGAAAGACTAGCTGAACTGAGCAAGTCCATCAGAGAGCAGTTTGTCATTTGGTCCCCTAAGAAGAAAGTCATCCACCACAGAGCCTGGACAGTTAAGGGATGTGTGCTCACATGTTAACTAGGGCGGGGGGGGGGGGCTTTCTGTTACTCTCCATCCCAGCAGGAGACCTTTTGTTACAGACAAGGAGGTGATGCCAACTGCACACTCTGACTTGCCTTACTTAAGGCCTACTTTCTGCCATTGGGAAAAGAGTGAAAAGCCCTTGGAGACCTGGGTTTCTTCCCAGCTCCACCAGCAGGAGATGCCTAGTCTTATTACTGTCTGGTTCTGTCTCTTTTCCCACTATCTATATCCACTTCAAACACTGGTAAGGTTTAGGAGATACCAAGTATAAGGGAACATCAAAGACTAAAAATGCAAGGAGCTGAGTCTTGGCCTCTATTTTGGATATTGCTCTTGAGGGGACAGGCGACTTTGGGAAGAATGACAAGGGGTAATAACAAGGCGTGGATGAATCTCCTACAGTTTTCACCACTCAGAAAATCATCTGGCTTCATGATAGTACAGAAAAATCTGAAAGAAAACAACAACAACAACAAATCAATAATAGCACAACCATAATGACACATGAATGTGTACAGAACTCTCACTAAGTTGTGGCAGCAAAGGCATAAAACCTTTAGAGTGAACACACTTTTGCCAGTCCACACTAACAGGTGCTAGATAAAGTGCTTTAACACAATCATCATACTTAACCCTCTCAACAACTGAGCCAGGCCCTGTGATTACCCCCATTTTCCCGATGAAGAGAAAGAGGCACAGTGGAGTGAGGTAAGTCATGTGAGATTCAATGTTCACAGTGTGTGCCAAGGTAAGTCTTCATATATGTGTCCACCAGATCCCCAAAGCCGGCACGCGCAGCCACCACGAGCAACCCTTCCAAGTTCTCTGCAAAGTTTGGAGAATCAGAGAAGTGCCCGAGGTGTGGGAAGTCGGTCTACGCTGCTGAGAAGGTTATGGGAGGTGGCAAGGTGAGGATGTCTGGTGAGCCAGATAGCAGATTCCCATCTCCACTGGGAGAAAGGAACACGGGGACTGTGGGTGGAGGTCAGACCCTTCATCCTCCTTAGCTCCCATGTGTTTAGAAACCACACATGACCTCCATTTCTCAATTTTGTGATTGTTACCTAGTGCCCTTTGACTACAACTAGTGCAGTTAGTCACAGTAAGAATTAATGTATTGGGGGGAAGGCATGCAGGATTCAAAAGTGTGTAAGTGCCTCTTCTGCCTTCCATAATTCTGTGTGAAATCCCTCTAGAGAGGTATCAGCTCTGGAAACCCATCACCCTTGAATAACTCAATCTGATTCTGCAACCACACAATTTTACTTGTATGTGTCCTGGCTCATGGGAAAGTCATCAAGTGTATACAGAAATGTGCAATGTGCTGATAATTCTGTTTCAAAAGTTCACCAAAGGGAACTGGACCCAGGCAAAGCAAAAATGTTTTAAATATGGAGAGGAGGAGCCTTGAAGAAATCTAACTTGAAACTATGTGTGGGCTGTGCCCACACATAGATCAGCCCTTTGTAGGAATACCAAAACCAACAGGCTGTGCTTAGAAGACAATGATGTGCAAGAGAGAGGTGGCTTTTTGAAAGCTAAGCCTGGCACCTCTGTGGCATCATAGTTTCAGAGAGTGGAAACAAGGCTGGTTTGCCTGGGTAATTGCCTACTTCCTCATCTTTTACCTTCTTGAATTTTGTATGCAGTATAAACACCACCACTAGCCTTTCTTGAGTAGTTTGTCCTCTGGATATTGTCACTCTGGGGAAGCCCTTTTCTGCTGAGTTTATTCTGAAGATAAACATACATGCAAATCATTATTATAAATCTATTAGCAGAGTTCTAAGAAGTGCCATTGCATCTTATTTTCTTGAAACCCTGCCATTATTAGTTGAGGGTCCTCTTACATAAGAGAAAGGCCAGGGTAATGGCATTGCTTTATGTGCTGCTAGTCAGTGGACTTGAAGTGGAACTACAAGGTGATGTTTGCCCCCCTGATAAGTAACCCTTTTGTGACTCCCAGCCTTGGCATAAGACCTGCTTCCGCTGCGCCATCTGTGGGAAGAGTCTGGAGTCTACAAACGTCACTGACAAGGATGGGGAGCTTTATTGCAAAGGTAAGTGGTTGCACAGACTTACTTGAAGCTTGTTTTCCCAAGGACCCAAGGGACAGTGAAGCTGTGCTTAGAGGCCTGCCTGTGTCTGCCAGGAGCCAGGGTGCTCAGCTTGGCAGACTAAGCTCTTGGAAGGAAGCAAAACTGCCCAAGGGTAACGGTGCAGCCACTGGCCTCAGCTCTGGGCTTCCCCATTGGAAGTTTGCAGATGCTCAGGAGGTTCAGGAGCACAGCTACCCTGAAGAGAGATGAGGAAGAATGGTGTCCTGTCTTAGGCCTAGATAAAGCATTATAGTCCTTTCTGAAAACCCAAACATCTCTCTTGTGGGAGGCGGATACCAGTGCCTGGCTGAGGGGAAGATCGCCCTAGCCTCATCTGTATGCCTCCCTCTATTCCTGATGTTGGCTTCTGATGTTACAAGTCACTTGGCAACCACAGGGACAGAACGGTCTTTTGTCCTGCCCTTGCAGCTCTGCCCCTCAGCTGCTTCCATAATCCTGGTCTTGTGTAGATGTCGAAGCCCAGCTCCCTCCTGACACCAAGAAAAGAAAGGACACACTAGGGAGCAATAGGTCCTCAACCCTGCAGCATCCCATCCCTATTCTGCAGCTCAGGGCAGTGTCATCATCTAATGACGGTGTTCAAAAAGCTTTAGATGCTTGTAGTGGAGGGGGATGAAAGAGGGACTGCTAATGTGGAAGCACACCTGCAATCCCCATCCCTGGCAGGCAGAAGCAAATAAACAGCAAGTTCAAGGCAGGTTTTTAAAACTGCTTCAAACAGACCCATAGACTAACAGATTGCCAAAGCTTTCCCCATGGTGACGCAGGACATGAATTCACTTGCTGTCTGATAGGCATAAGAGATATAGGCTTTCCATAGAGGAAAGGAATCAGTGGGGATGATTCTGAAGACATAGTCTTCTAGGCTTAAGGAGTGATGAAGGCTTGGGAAGGGTCATTCCAGGAACAACCTGGAGCAACCTCCTAGGAGGGACATTACAGGAACTTCAAGCACTTCTGAGTGCCTGGCAGGTATGGCAGGACTGAAGACTGGGCAGCAGCAGGGTGGAAGGCTGGGCAGCTGGCTTATGTGTACTATTTTACGAGAAAGCGTCAGTAAGACTGTGAAGTGCAAAGACATAAACAAAGATTATTAGCAAATCTAAGTACAGCTTTGTTTCTTTAAAAGTTAAATTTACCAAAAGGCTACCACTGGCAAGTAAAAGTATGATATTCAGGCAGGACCTAAAATAGCAATGCTAATCAATATATTCTATTTCATCTTCTCTTTCACAGTTTGCTATGCCAAAAATTTTGGCCCCACAGGCATTGGGTTTGGAGGCCTCACACAGCAAGTAGAGAAGAAAGAGTGAAAAGGTGTGCTTTCTCACAACCCTGCCAGCCAACACCAGTGCCAAGTAATCCCACAGATGTAGAGTTTGTCCCAAACAGCCTCCTTTGTAGCTGGACAGCATTTCTCTTCTGCAGTAGTCATAGGCTGCACTGAAGTAACAACAGACCTCTGGAAGAAAACATTGGAAATGTAACAGGCAACAGATGCTTCATTATTTACTGTCCTTGGGGTGGGGCAGGCAATAAATGTTGTAGTGGTGCTGTCTATCTCTGTCTTCTTTGCAGAGAGGGGAAGGTGAGAGAGAGAGAATTTCAGTATTAACCATGAAAAGAGGTAAAGGAAGTGTCTGGTATAGAAACATCTTCCTCATAACTGAGGATAGAGAAAAATAAACAAACAAACAAAAAAAACCCCCACAAAAACAAAAACCGGAGGTCTGAGAAAAGACAGCATGTAAGCAGATTCTAAGAGGAAAACCAAAATTAATAAATGACTGAGCAGTTGATCCTTTTGCCCCGTCATGGGCTTTGCAAAATTGTGGAAACTGAGAAATAACAAAAAGCTTGGCATATGGTTCTGTGTTACAGATGACAGGATGGTTTTCTCTTATTCTGCAATTCCTTGGGGCTTAGTGATTTTTAAAACTTTTCTTATATCAAATTGCTGGTCTCACTAATGAAACACAGTCAACTAGACACATTTTTCTTTACCTCTTTGGTGGCTTAAAAATATTTATCTTCTTTAAGCAACCACATCATTTTTTCTACCTCTCTGCAATTCCTTAATTACTGTCTGGAAAGCAAACAGAAATCTCTTGATTAAAGCTATGAACAAGTTCCAAGTTCCAAGAATGGCTACCTTTAAAACAAGCAGTTATGCCGTGGTGATGGTGGTGAGTCCCTTTAATTCCAGCACTTGGGAGGCAGAGGCGGGCAAATCTTTGAGTTCAAGGCCAGCCTGGTCTACAGATTGAGTTCCAGGACAGGCAAGGCTACACAAAGAAATGCTGTCTCGAGAAACACAACAAAGGCTCTTGCACTCTCTCTGCTTTGTTTTTTCTCCTGGGGGGACCACCACCATGCTACTCTTCTCTTTCTTCCTACTCTCTGTTTATCTCTGTCTTTTTCTCTCTCTATTCTCATGACCCACTCAGGCCCTAACTTCTCTTCCCTTTCCTCCCCCCAAATAAATCTCTTCATATATCTATATGAAGAGATATATATCTATATCTAAATCTAAAATCCCTCAAACTAAAACAACAATGAAAACCAAGCAGTCATTTACCTTGTGTGCTGCTTGTAGATTTTAAGAGCAATACACTATTTTAGCTTGTTATAGACTCCAGGCTTGCCCAGGAGTCAGTCACATGTATGCCATAATCACAGGAAAACACAACCTCCTCTTTTTCTGCTGCGTTTCAGATGCCAGCCCCACCAAGTATGTATCCAGGAGACAGAAGCTAAAACTCAGTCACCCATTAGTTTTGCCCTGTCCCTCATCCTCTTTCCCTACTCCTTAAGCCTCTTTGCTTCTGACTCAAGGGGACTTCTGGAACACATCACTCCATTTCCTTTTAGTCTATGTATTAGTTCACGAGGGCTGCTGTAATACAATCAAATAGACTAGGTGGCTCAAACAGAAATTTTCTCCTATGTTGGAGGCTGAAAGTCCATGATAAAGGGGTCAATATGCAAGGCTTGTTTTGGCTTACATCTCATTCCTTAGCTTATCCAGGCAACCTCATGTTTTCCCACAGTCTTTCCATCCAGCGTGTCCTATAGCTAGCTTTTAACTCTTAGGATAGTAGAGTAAATCAAGACCTATCCATATGATCTGCTCCAACCCTAGTTACTTCTTTAAAGGTTTTTTCTCCAAGTATAGTCATATTCTCAGGGACTAGACGAGAGAACATGTGAATTCTGGGGAGGCAAGTCCATCCATTAAAAACCCATTACATGAGGACTGTTACAAGCTGGCCTTGCTCTGGTCCTCCAGCTTAGCCTCCACATGCCCAGTATGCTATGTGCCCACTATGTCTTTGCTGATGCTCTTCTTTCTGCTTCACACTCCTGGAAAATGGAAAACCCTTCCATCTTTATTCTTTAACCTAACTCCTTAACTTGGTAAATGCCTATCCATTAAGGCCCAGGTCAAATGCTTTACAAAGTACTTTTTCCAAGTACTGGAGCAGATGAACCCACCTCTGTACTCCTGCAGCAGGCATATAATCTTCTTGCACCTAATTTTGAATTTCCATTTACATCCTTGTTACAGTGTAATGCCCTTCCATTTTTAACACACAACAAACAAAATGCATTCCAAAAACACTTATAGAATACAGTGGAAGAGAACAAAAACCAGACAAAATATAGGGTGTTCTAGAAGTGAAAAGACATGAAATTAAAGAAACCTAAAAAGAAAATAAAAGAACCTCATGGTGGATTGTAGTTTGCTACTTCCTGCGTACCCAAATCTACATTTCCCAGACTCCTCTGTTACTGTCTGGAACAGATGACAAGGTTCAGCCAATGGAGTCCTATCTGCCAAAGTTTCTTGGAGTCTTCATGCTCTCTCCACATCTCTAGACACAGAAAGTCCATTAGATATGAAAACACTCAGTAATGGTGAGTCTCTGAATGGACCCGCTGAGAGCTAGGTGGTGATACAAGAAATGAGCCTTAATGCTGTATTTAGACACCAGTACTGAGGATATTTAAAGCCATTGAAGAGATAGTTATTATCACATTCTCTTGACTAAGGCACACTTAAAGCACCAAATTTACTACAACCAAATTACCTTTCTTCCTGCTTGTTGCTTGGGTGCCCACCCTGTCCTTTGTAATTAGTATCACTCATAATCCCTTGATAGTATCCACTGAGCCTCATCTTGACCTCTGAACTCTAATGTCCTATTTGTATTCATCTGAATGGCTTTTAATGTTTTCTACCTTATTCTATAATTTCATTCATATTAGCTTTCTGTCTTTTACAAAGCTCATGATTATAATAGCTCAATAAATCACTGTGGAATAACCTAAAAAAAACATGAAATGCACTTTCCATCTGTAAGGACCTGGAATACAGTGGTGCCAAAGGTCTCAAGTGGAGAATTTGAATTTGAGTCCTGGCCTCTTACCTTTATTTATTACCTTTTATTCTGATCTAAATGGGCTGTGGACAATCTGGAAAAACTTATTCAGTAGATGTGGCGGCTTGAATGAAAATAGCCCCCATAGGCCCATAGGGAACGGTACTATTAGGAGGTGTGGCCTTGTTGTAGTAGGTGTAGCTTTGTTGGGGGTGGGCTTTAGGTCTCAGAAGCTCAAGCCAGGCCCAGTGGCTCAGTCTCTTTTTGCTGCCTGTGGATACATATATAGAACTCTTTGCTACCTCTCCAACAGCGTGTCTGCCTGCATGCTGGCATGCTTCCAGCCATGATAAATAATGGACTAAACCTCCAAACGCCAGCACCAATTAAATGCTCTCCTTTATAAGAATTGCCATGATCATGGCGTCTCTTCATAGAAATACAACCCTAACTAAGACAGTAGAGGCTAGTTAGAAAGACAGAGAATATAGTTTGGAGAGTCCGTTCTACCATCTGAGGATCTGAGTCTTCAAATGTGACTCTGATCATATCATGACTTGATTAAAAACTCCTTATTTCATTCAACAACTTAACTCAAATATTTATTGCATGAATACTGTATTAGACAATATTCTAGGTTATTTGCACTCTACAGGGCAACCACACTAAACATCCACGACTCACTTCATTTGCATTTAGTTCCTTCTTGGAGGAAGGAACAAAGATCCTTGAGGAACTGAACCGTAGCCCAGAGCAACACTGGTACAACAAAACAGCATTGTTCAGGGGTTTATAGGCCATGATGAGAAATTTAGCTTTCACCCCATGACAAGAACCTGAAGAAGGATTTAGTGAGAAAAGTAACTGGGAGAGCTGTGCAAACTATGCCAAGACTTATAAAGAATTGGCATTCCCTATAGAACAGATAAAATCAGTAGTTACAATCACTAAACAACTAACATTTTAATGGTACTGGGTTAAAAATCTAGATGAATATTTAAGACTTCATGTATTCAAATTCTAAGAAGAAAATTAAGTAAAATACTGCTTACTGGCATTAACAGTAACTCATTCTTAATTATGAATTAGTTTCACTGTATCTGTCAATCTATTTTCTCAAGATTCTAAAGATGTTAAGCAGCAGAAAGTAAGTCTCAAGTATAAAAAATGTTTTTATTAAGTGTGAAAGCAAAACAGGTACATCTATTTAAATATTCTTTACATATTTATAGATACAACAAAGACAAATAACTTATCAAAAATTACAAGTTTAAGAGTCCTATTTTTAAAAAGCCAATACAGTATCTGAAAATACTCTATTTGATCCATAATTAGTACTATTATGTTTTGTTTTGTTTCTTTAAAAAAGTAACTCATGTTCTTGGGGAAAATATGAAAGGTTTTTAAAGATGTCTGCCAGATTGCTCAGTAACAGACCTTTGTTCTAAGTCTGATAGAAGGTCCTCTTGCTGAAGACTGTGTTCCCATTGGGCTTTTGACTGTGAGGAGCTCAACGTGTCACTTCATTTTCAGATCTGAGAGTATCAGCATAAACAAAACCAAGTCAGGGTGTGTTGTGAGGTGCTCTTCTTCATACGGAGCGCAGAACCTTCTCTTTTGCCGGGTGGAAAACCATGGTGTACTGGGTTGTCCAATCTATGATGCAGGGCTTCACTAAGCCAAAGCAGCCACACTGAAAGAAATCTGCCAGGTTCTGTGTAAATCCAAGGCTGTCAAGAAAAGAAGAGAAGACAGCTCACCATACCTCCTATGCTGCTTGCTCCATGGAGACTTTTCCAGATCTCAGACTGCTCTTTTTCCCTGACATCTCCTCCACATTTTTATCACAAGACCTCTGTACTTTAAGGGTCCCCTCCCCCACTTTTGAGGCAGGATCTTACAAGCAAGCTGGCCTGGAATTCTCTAGATAGACCAGACTGGCCTCAAACTCAAGAGATTCATCTACCTCTGCCTCCTACGTATTGGGATTAAAGGTGTGTGTCACCACCTCTGGCCTGCCTCTAGCCTTCAATAAAGAAAATATAAGTATTAATTCCCCTAGCTAAGCCATCAAGATAGGGTCTTATGACTGCCAGGTGAAATGAGCATCACCAGCTTTGTACTACTCTCTAGACCTGGCTTACAGCTATCTCTCCTCTCCTCCATAAATCCACACTGTGATCTCAAACCAATCTTTGGTTCCCTTGTCTAACAGCCTAACACCAAGAGCGGACTATGAAACAGACTGCTCATGAGATACACAGTGAGTGCTTAGATCCCTCAAGGGCTCTGGGTCATCTCTGCCATATGACCAGCCTCCAAGACACTTCATGTAGGTGACAGGGAGATAAGCTTCAAAGCCTGGTCTTTCACATCACAAGATCAGAGTTCTTACAAAGCACTCTAATTTTCAAATTGGAGACTGGTTTTACAGGGTTGATGTTCTAAGGACACATATCCCAAATCTAAAACTCCAGCTTCTCCCCGACACAGGTGGGCAAGTTACAAAGAGAAATACAAGAATTTGTGGGTCTAGAAAAGCATGCTGAAGTTTAAGCAAAGCACACCACCTAATGCTTTCTACCAAGAACGGTGTGGCTGGCTTGTCAGCCACACGCTGATCTGTCTCATGCTGACCCCTTGCCAGCAACACACAGCCTTGTGATCACTTGGTCCAACAGGAGAGTCTCCACCTTGGCAAAACTTCAAAGTAACTTATATTTACACTGAGTCCAGTAGACTGAATTCCTTACGCCAATGGGCATATGATCTTATCACTTAAAACCTAACACTGAGACTTCCAAGAAAGATGGGCTCAGCTCCACCAGACAGTAGGTTACAAAATGGAACTAGGTCAAAAAAATCAGTTGCTGGGAATCTTCCAAAGACTTGGTGACCAGACCAGAACTCACTTACTTGTATGGTGTCTTCCTGAGGGACAATGTCTGTTTCATATGCCTGCTCTGCTTTAATAGGCTGATTCTCTCATGGGAAGTTAGGCCCAGAAATGCAATCTGAAAAAGATGAAGGAACATTAAGAACGAACACATCACCGCTCTACCTCTCTAAAAAGTGCACTCTAGGATTGTGGCAAACATTTAGAAGTCTACAAAGACAACATTCCCCCCAGACTTCTTGCTAAAGATCACATTGAAGACAAAGATTCACAACTTTAAACTCTTTTTAGCCAAGTAAATAAAAAAACAGCTAGACTTATTGTCTGAAGTTTATCAATACTCAAGAAAGCACTGCACATTGACTCAGAATTATAAAATAACTTTTCATTAATTCCAGCCATATCTTGTGGCCATATTTAGATTTCAACACAAGAACAAACATCTGTAGAACAACTGAAGCAGGGCAAGCAGTATCAGTACAATTCTGATACTTAGTTCCGAGCTTTTCTTTAAAAAGGTGCCAAATAAAAAGGTTAATAAACCAAAGGGAAGAACATCCAAACTCATAAATTTGAAGACTAAAGACTACAGTGATTAAGAAACTCTTAAATCAATATAGACCACAGCAGTTCATGAGGTTAGCTAATCTAAACCTCAAAACACACCAAATATCAATTTCTAGTCTGTAAAACTATATCTATCACACCACCCTCATCATACCATGTTAAGGACCTGAGATAACATACCTGAGATACCTGCTAAGGATTAGAGAGGTGAGGTAAGTGGTCCAAGGCCACAGAGCTGAGAGGCAGAGTTGGGACTGGCAGGTCATTGTGAGATACACAGCTGCTACTCCCAACCAGCAGCTTGTGTGCTCAGTTTGACAAAATGCAGTTAAAACTATCTTAAATCAGATCACCCAGGAAATCAAAGGTTTCAAATAACTGAGTTGTTTTGTTCCTTAAATAAACAATTGCGCAATTCTTGTTGGCAAAAATTACCTGAACCCTTTAGTCACTTTTCTTCCTTAGGACAATGTATCAATCTTTAAGTACTAACGCTATCATCTGTTTGTTTTGGATACAGTTTTGCTATGCAGCCCACCCGGCCTTGAACTTCTAATTTTCATGTTTTCAAGCTCTTGGGAGCTTGCATTACAGGTGTTATGACTCGACACATACCTTAGATATTAAAGATGTCTGAACCTCATACAGCACCTTATCACTAGAACAGAAGCAAGGCACTCTACCTTTGTTAGATGTTGTTTCCTAATCCATAAAATACAGCTACTATTCTGGTGTGTTCCCAGTCTCAAGTATGCATAATGTGTAAATGCTTTAGAAATGTACTTATATGTTAGCATTAAATATGTGATCACTCCCTGATAATATTGTTTCTTACTACCTGAGTTGCTGATGTCAGGAGAAAAAGGAACTCAGTTTTTTCAATAAACTCCTTTCCTCATCATTTTCCTAACCATTATTTCCCCCATAAAAGTGGAATCTGCTCTCCTTTTGCCAAGTGGTATTATAGAAACTTAGGTGTTTATTTTTATTCATTTTTTCTTTTTTGTGAAACAGGGTTTCTCTCTATAGACTTGGCTGTTTTGGACTCGCTTTATAGACCAGGCTGGCCTTGAACTCACAGAGATCTGTTTCCCTTTGCCTCCCTGAGTGCTGGGATAATAAGCATGTGCCACCACACCCAGCCTGCCAGTCTTATTAACTGGCTAAAAATGATCACTGTTGCCCACTCCACGCAGAAAGGCCATAGCAATGGGACATAGGACAGGGTAGAAAGCTCTGCAGAAAACGGAAGCTGTTACTGCCCTGGTGTGTGAACTTTCTCAACACATGGTCACCCCAGCACTACACCTACCTAAGCATTGTATAAGGTAATAGAATTGGAAGAACTGAAGGTAAATAACTATTTTGCATTTGTATAATAATTTTATACTTTGTAACATGTTTTCACACACTATATACCTTAAATATAAGATGAGAAGAAACTTGAACTGGACTGTTAGAAGAACTGAGTCTCCAGTTCTGATTTTGCTGCTTGCTGGGTAACTGAAGAATTCCATTCATTTCTCAGTATTATAAAATTAGAAGGCCAGATTAGACCATTCCTGAGTGGATAAAGCCTGAGCAAGCAAGTTATTAGTCTACCCTTTAAGCTGCCTGTGTGAACAGATGACATTATTATCCTCATCTTACAGACAAGGAAACTGAAGCTGAAGAGTGGGAGATAATATGCTAGACTAGAAGAGTGTGCTCTCTAGTCTTCTGATTTTAAAGTCAAGTCTTTCTATCCAACTATGACTCACTGAAAATTTCATTCAGAGCCATAATGAGAAATACCTGAAAGAGTTGATTTATTAATAAAAATGTTGACCATGAGAAATGGAAAGCTGCTAGCATGAAGATGTACAAAACCCAGGGTGAACAGGCCACTATCTGATTGAGGTAGGTCCATAGTCCATCTTCCTTGAATGTTGTTGTACAATGATTTGACCAGTCTGTAAATACAAAGGGTGGGGGGAAAGCATTATTAACAATAGCAAAAAATTATTTATCCTCCAAGAAAATAAAAATTATATAGTTCTATTTAGGGAGAAATGATAGACGACAGCATAGATCAGAATTCAATTTTAGGGATGGGGAGAGTAGCTCAGAGTGGAGAGTATCCTTAGTATGTGTGTGGTCCTCGGTTCAAGATACAAGCATCAAAAGTAAAGCAAAACAACAAAAGCAAAGCAGAAATCCCACTCAGGAGTTTACTTTCTAAACGCCAGCTCAGCTATCGGAGGCGAGAACAGGGGCCTTGGGCAGTGAGGATGTGATGGCACCACACTAGCAGTCGACATGAAAGGAATACAAATGAACAGGGCCCAAAAAAACTTTACAAAGAACAGCTCACTTAGCATAAAATGCACTGGCCAGAATTTTCCTGGGCTTGACAATTGAGGCTAATGACATCTAAGGTATCTCCTTCATTTTAAGGGGTTTTATGGATCACATACAGGATTGACTATCAACAATGAAGGTTCAGATGGCCAGGAATTGCTGTGGGCACAATATGTAATACAAGCACCCCAAATACCTTTAGGACACAACCTGTGGCAGGGAGCCAGGCCTAGTGTACTTCTGCAATTGCCTGATTCATAATCCTCTCAGGAAAAAAGGCCAGGATAAAGGGCATCACAAGACAGACCAGCTCATCATAATACAGAGCAAGATTCAAATAGTCACTACCCACTTCCTCCGTGGAGTCTACATGCCACTTAAAAGGGAGGCCATGCTTTCGACCCCTAACCCATAAGCTGAGAGTAACGCAAGGAGACAACAATAGGGAGCAGCAGAAACAAGAAAACAGATCTTCAAGGTCATGAGGCTCACAGGCACCATGATGGTACATAAGGGGTATATTATTTCTGAAGTGAGAATTCTATAGATTTGCACCTTGAGGTTTCACAAAATCCTCTGATAATCTGTAAGCAGTTGTAGACATTCCCTCAAATCCCAGTGAGCATCCCCTGGGACAGGAAGAAAGTGAGTCCAAGACTGCCCATTGTAGCCTTGAACATCTATTTTTCCTTTTTATTCCTAATCATCTTTCATGAATATATGCCTAAACCACCCTAAAAGCGAAAGAACAATCAAGGCAACACATTAAAGCAAATGATACATTTTAGAGTTTCTCATTAGGATAGCAAAGGAAGAGATATCCTATGCACCTGATGGAAAAAGAAAAAAAATGAATATAATTTCCACAGCAGGTGGAACAAACAGCTGTTGAATGGGGAGAACATCTAACTTCTTTTAACTTATGTATTTCTATTTGATAACAGCATCACCTACAGGTGAAGCACTCACACTGACTTTAGACTTAATATCAAAGATATGGCTGCAAATGGCCATCTACATTATCTTATTCAAGGTAACAATTTAGTCTGTATTAATGCAGCCTTCTCAAGTAGTCAATGGTTAATGACAGGATATTCCCCCTTTACTGGAAAGGGATTTTTTCCCCCCTCACTTAATATATCCTGATTATGGTTTCCCCTCCCTTTACTCTTCCCAATTTTTCCCTACTTCCTTTCCACCCAAACTTGCTCCCATTCAAGAAAGGAAGTTCTTTGTTCCACGACAGTCATTCTCATCTTTAGGTAGTGCTGACATTCACACACCACTTCCTGATATGATGTAATACCTTTCTCCCTGTAACTTGTAGAATGCTGACTTTCTGATTCCCTTCTTTCTACTCTTAAAATAGACCTTGTAAAAGATGAAAGCCAGATGCTGTGATGAGACAGAAACAGCTAACAGTGGGTCATATGAGGAGGGTACATAGCACAAGTCTAGTGATAACAACGTGAATGGAAAACAAAGGAGGTATGGCAATGAGGCCTTGTTAAGAGAAACAGAGCACAAACTCATGTTTACTGTCTGGAAAAAAAATGATAAATGAAACAATATCTTTGCCAGTGACAAAGTATGTTCAGCTGGTCTACAGAATTTTAATGCCTCACACACAAAATATATGAAAACTGGTCAAAGCCAGAAAAAGAAAACAAAGAAGGAAAATAATAACTGTGTCATAAAAATCCAACTTGGAAAGACTGTGATGGAAAATCACTGCTGTCCTTATCATTATGGTCTTATGCTAGACCTCTACACCAAATAACACAACTATTTTTAGTGAGGAGAGACAAGGGTGGTGCAAAGTTTGGCTCCTTTCTGCTAGGATCGAGCCCAAGAGACAAGCTGGTATGTGGGCCAATTTAGAAGGCTTCCAAGAACAGGCCTCATGGTCAAACCTAAGAGGCAGCTGTCAGAGAACCTCTGTTAAGATCTTTGCTGTACGACACAATCTAAGATGGTTTAAAATGCTCAGGGCTGCTGTGGATTTGGATAAGAATTGAGCTCCCTTCTGACTGTATTAGACCTGTGTGATCCGGTCATGGTTATGATTTATAAAGCACTCCCTAAATGTGTCAGGATGGAAAGGGTCTGAAGCCTACACTGTGCCATATCAGGGCACAAGGCAACCCAGTGCATGCACACACTAGCAACCTCCAGACACGAAAACTCAAATCAAATAGAACCTATAACCTTGGCTGCTTGTACAGAAGGAAGTGAGAGGCAGGGAATAAACACACAGAAAGCTGTCTTAGAGCTAGCGATTGGCTTAGTTGCTTAAGGCTGCTCCTGCCAAGCCTGATGACCCGAGGTCTGATCCCTGAAGCACACATGGTGGAAAGAGAGAACTGGTTCTTGTATGTTGTCTCCTCACTACCCCCACACAAACAAAAAAATAGATAAATGAACAAACAAATGAAAGACAACAAAAACAAGCCCCCCTCCTCTCCCAAAGAAACTCCTTACATTTACACAAGGAAGTGGGAATGATGCAAAGAGGAGACAGCAGGAAAGGACAAGAGTGCTAAGGTTTGGGATGTGGAGGCAAAAAGAAAATACTGTGTTTCTGAAGTCTTCAGCTCACAGCAATAAGCTAGGACACTAGTGGCCGCAAAACAGAGTGGGAGACTAGATGTGAAAAGCTTAGGAGTGAAGACCATGTCTAAATTTTCCCAGGCCTCAAAAATACATAAACTACAAATTGTTAAAGTCCAAAGTTCAAATAAATACATAGGTAAATAAATGCCAGCATCACTCCAGGTTCTTTCCCTAGGCCACCTATTTCAAGGTGTGAAGAGTGTAGTTCACAATTCTTAAGAGCTCACCACCATCCTTTAGGCTTCAGTTTAAACCCTGCCCTTCATCAGTTACCTCAGAACAGCCCTGCACGACACACCAGACTCCTGAAGGTTACTTTCTGCTCAACTACAGAGCAAGAGAGCCAGTATTTTCTTCCTAACTTCTCCACTGTGACAGTTTTCCCCTTGTTTCTCAGTTTCAACTCTATTCTCAAATGGCCTGCACTCTCACAGCTTTGCTCTTCCACTTTACTGTGACCCACCACCAGCCTCTTCTTTTCTGGTCTTACTCACGTCACTCAGCACCTCCGCCTTTGCCTTTGCCTTTGCCCTCAGGCTGTTGTTTTCTATTCACAGGAGGACAAGTCTACATCAACACACTGAGTTTCTATATGACCACTCAACTTTACCCAGGAGCTCTTCCTAAGTACTTGAGTTACCTTTTCTTGCTGTTTCCCACTGTGAAGATTTTAAAGGGGTCCACTTCATTCTTTCACTAGGGGCATGGTTACACGTTGGGCAGAGTGTGTCAGACAAGGGCTCACAAGGAAAAAACTGGGTACGGTGTACAAGCTTGTAAAAATCATTTATACTTACAGACGAAAGATCCATATATGATCCAGTCACATACCATGGAAAGGGAAAGCAAGAAGAAGATGTAATGATGATGATTGCCAAAACCTGAATCAGAAAGAAAGAAAACATACTTAATATTTTCTTTTCCTAATGATTCCCCAGACAAGACTACTTTACTGTAAAAAAACAAAACAACAAAACAAAAAAACCTATGTAAAACAGAAACAAGGTTTGCTTCATTTTTTTTTTAAACGAATCAAGACAGCTCTGAGGAAGACAGATGTACATATTTACTAATATTCCCTAAATATTCCCTAACCTAAAACAAGACATTTTGCATAGAGCAACATTACCTAGGCAAAAACAGCTTTGGGCTTGTCTACACTACTAGTGCAAAGTAGCAGGCAAACTTACATGTGGTCTCTTTCTCACGGAATATGTTTAGGTAAGTACAATCTACAGACATTAAAGACTAACTTGAAAGGGAACAGAAACCGCAAATGTGAGGAATGGCCAATCTTGGTGGACATGCCAACCTTGGTGGATACTAGAAAACAGCAGAGGGGAAACCACGGCCCACAAAAAGGTTGTATAAAGAAGTGGTGAGGGTTAAAGATAACCAAACCCCTTCCTATAATCTGTTAGCCGCCTGATGGTGGAGGTGGAAGCATTTTGGTGCTAACAACATATATGCTCTTCAATGACCACTACATCAGTCTCATTTTCTTCTACATCAACACACTGAGTTTCTATATGACCACTCAACTTTACCCAGGAGCTCTTCCCAAGTACTTGAGTTACCTCTTCTTGCTGTTTCCCACTGTGAAGATATTAAAGGGGTCCACTTCATTCTTTCACTAGGGGCATGGTTACACGTTGGGCAGAGTGTGTCAGAATATTCAGTAGAATATTCAACAGAAATATTCAGTAGCATCAATACATACTGTAACAAGTGACCCTTGTTTATGATTATTAGCTCTGTTACTACTGTAGCCAAAGTCACTGGATTTCTCTGATTCCATAGTCTCACTTATAATAGCAAGAGAAGATAAGACCTCTTTCACTTCATAGGCCTGTGGTAACCAAACAGGACTACGTAGTTGTGGAAACACTGTCAAAAACAATTTGATAAATGTAGATGATAGATGGGTCCCTTACAACTGTTTCCCTGATGTTCTTCAATCTGGCTAGCATGATGTCAATCATCTAATCTTTATGACAGAATGGTACCCAAGCATCATCCAGCCATCTTTCCCAGGAAGAAAAGAGAACATCAGAATGTATCCCTGGCCTGCATCCTTCAGTTTTTCAGGGGGATAAGTGCAAACCCCTACTGAAGATAGTCACAGCTCCTTCTGTTAACTTTGGTTCTGCCTCCCACCTGAGCATTAAGGGAGGCTGGTGAAGGTAAGAAAGGTAAGTCACAATGTAAGGCAAGAGTGTGATATCTGGAGTGAAAACTAATACTGCAGAGATGATCTGAATTATTTACACTCTTTGCTCTGAAATGCAGATAGTAATAACAACCTCACAGATGTGTTCTGATCAAATCAGACACCACATATATTTCATAAACTCTAAAATACTACACAAATGACAATAATGGGCATTAACAATCTATTAACTATCTTCCAAAAGTATTACTGTAAAGATTATTGAAGAGGAGCTACAAAATGGAGACCCTGGATGGCCTTTCATTTCTTTCTAAGTCACACACATAACTAAACATACGCTTAACTTCACCAATGAGGTAAGTGAAAAATTAAGTCTCTCACCTATACAGCGTCCAGTCCAAAAGCAGTGCTGATCAAATCGAGCCACACAAGAGTTACACACATGGCAATGGAGTGACCTTAAAGGCTTCCTTATCTGAGGAGAATTAAAAAAGTCCTAAGCAAAAATGGTCTTTGGTAAAAATAGATCGTAAGCAAAACTTTAATTTTATGTCATAGAAGACTGGCACAAATAATCGTATCTAGATGACTCTCCCACACAGAAGCTCTGAATGTTTATTTCTGTACATGATAGGAACAAGCCTTCACTCAGAAAGAGCTGAATTCAGAGACTATTCATGCTGGCTGAGAGAAACACAGGCAGTGACACATTCGGCCTAAAAACGGGAATGAGAAAAGGGAAATCTCAGCTCCATTTCAGGTTCATCCGAGCATATACTCCCTTCTCCTAAGCCTGAACCCAACTGCAAAACCAGAAGTTTCAGTATGTAGTTTTGATATAAGGTGTCTTGGATTTACAGTGAATTCTAACATACACATCATGACAGGAAACACAAATAAAAAGCACTACGGATGATTTACAGAGTGACTAACCACAGGGAGATATTCCTTCATATGCTCGTGATGGAAAACTGTCTCACAGAAATACAAAATCAGAAGCAGGTAAGAAGAAAAGTGTATACAAGTGCCATGAAGATCTGGCAAATGCTTCCTAAGCAAACAAAGTACTGACAGAAGAGACTCACAAGACACGATGTGCAAAATGTTCTCAAGTCCAGGCATCCAGTCTCTGCAAGGGTGACGATATTCTGAAAGAGAAAGCAGCTGGGTGCATCTGACTGGGCAATATTACATGTGGTTGTGTGCCGTTCTCACAGCTTTCACTCTACCTCCAGCTTCAGAAATAGTCAGGACATCAATCTGGAATACTCCCAACCCAATCGTTCTATTCTTGAAATAATGTGACTTTTCAAGGTGGTGTTTCAAGCAGTGGCTAAGAAATCTGACTGCATAAACATTATATTCCCATACCCCTTACCATCTTTTTACAAATGGCACACACTTCCCAGTTACGGCTTGCTAGGACAAAAACATAAACTCATGCATATATACACACCACTCATCAAAAAAGAAAAGATTTATGGATAAGCATCCAAACTGATTGCTGCAAGTAAGAGGCTTGGGTCTTTCAGGACAGACTGTAGGTAGTAGAAGAAAAGATTCTCCTTAACTTCCAAACCCCAACAGCAACTGCAAATAGACCATGTCTCTGGTAACTTTACATTTGAGGAAGGAAACGGTGTTATCTCCTCAGCTATTAGGAAGAAGGAACCCACTAAACTCTGGCATCATCACTCCTTCACGGAGGCAGCATTCAAGACTAAATTTGTAACAAAAAGGGAGCTCAAACAACAAACGTCCAGTTGAACAAAGTTTGATGGGGTATCACTTTTACAGGAATCAGATGTTTCTAAAAACCCTGTATACAAATAAACAAGTGTAATTGTGCAGAGACACCATTTTGATGATCTAATCAGCTCACATTTAAGCGGTACCTATTAAGTGGCAGACATTACAGATGCAGCTATGCCAAAGATCAACATGACTGGAACTCTCAGGGAAAAAAAAAAATTAAAAAATAAAATAAAATAAAATAAAAATAAAAATAAAATAAATAAAATAAAATAAAATAAAATACTCACCACTTTCCTCTCTTCCTCAGAAGCCTTAGTGAAGCCTGGATCTGTTGCCCAAGTCTTGTAGAAAAAATAGAGAAAGGCTATGATGCTGAAAATAAAAGCAAAATAGAAAGGGCTGCCTGATGCATGTTAAAACCTCGTTAAGGAATATAGCAGACCTCTATTGAGAAAAGCATCATATGTGATGTAAGCAAATGTTATCATTGTCCCTATGAACCTTTCTTTCCTGCATTCTGCCCCCAACCTCCCTATGTACACATACCACCCACAGGATCAATTTTCTAATCCTACAGAAGTCTGCTCCTAGTTAGTCAATAACTACTGCTTCTTCATTATTGAAGCCCATTTTAAATACTAACAAAAGCAGCCATCATTCTGAAGACTGGAAAACTTTTCACAGTATAGCTGTGATTTTCCTCAGATCATCCAGAAAAATATTCTCTGATCAGTCTCACAAGACCATTTGAAGAAATGCAAGACTTGGGTCAGAGATTTCAATGTACTTTCCCTGTAAAGAAGATGAATACCTGCATAAGTTTAACCAGAGCTTAGCAACTTGACCTTGTAACTGTTCTGAATTAAAATTTGCCCTCCCTGCAAAATGAGTGTACATTACACACTAATTGAGAAAGATAGGTAACACAGATGCTGAAAAAGATTACAAGGATTAAAAATTCTGTACTTTAAAATGTTTTTAAGTGGTACTTTTTAGAAATACAAGGTACCATTTTGCTCCAGAATAGAAATGAGTATGCAGTTAATAAACCACAAAGACAGTAGTAAGCTAGGCCTTGCCTAATGTAAATATTATTGGCCTGACACAGTAACTATTACAAGGTGTTACCAAGCTACTTTGCATTAACTTCAGAATAGAAAAGGAGACCATAAAACAGATGCTCAATTCTTATTCAAAGCATGGTTCAATGACCTTCAATACCAGCTTGTTGGAAAAACTGAACTCTGAGCTGATGCCAACACTGGGAAGGCTGAGGCAGGAGGGTTCTGAGTTGAAAACAACCTGGGCTACAGAGGTAGTTCTATGTTAGTCTGAGCTACTTAGTAATACTGTCTCAAAAAAAAATGAAATGAAACTAAATGCAAAGAAAGTGGGGAGGGAGGGAAAGAAAGAAAAAGAGAAAAAGGATGGACAGGAAGTGAGGGAAGGAAGGCGGGAAGGCAGGCAGCTAAGTTCAATTTCTGATCTCACACTACACCTACAGTACTAGACTAAATTTAAGGAGCTCTCCATGGATCTCATCCCACACCAAAGTTTGAGAAACACTGACCTAACCCAGAGACTAGAACAAACATATCTGGTTTAGAGAGGCAGAATGAAGCCTGCTGGCTAACTGTGCTAGCTAGTTTTATGTCAACTTGAGAAAAGTTACAATCATTTGGGAAGAGGGAACCTCAGTTAAGAAAATGGCCCACCAGACTGACCTATGGTATATTTTATTTCCTTGACTGATGATTGCTGTGGGAGGGCCCTGCCCTCTGTGGTGCTACCCAGAGGCACCTGGTTCTGGTGCTGTAGAAAAGCAGGTTGAGCAAGCCAATAAACAACACCCCTTCATGGCCTCTGGATCAGTTCCTGCCTCCAGGTTCCTGCCCTGACTTCCATGGAAGATGGACAACAAGCTAAAAGCTGAAATAAACCCTTTCCTCCTGAAGCTGCTTTTTTTTTTTCCTTTTTTGTGGTATTTTATCACAGTAACAGAAACTGTTTATCACAGCTAACATATAAAGGGGGCTAGTTTTAAGGAAGAGCTAGAGGCCAGATAAGTTACACAGAACTGAATTTTAGCAAAGCTTACTTTGAACGAAGTAAGAGGAACACTTGTAAAGGATATACGAGAAGACTTTTTGTTAAAAATTAGATCCAGTTTTTCTCCACCGTGTCCTGATAACTTACACATTACACTCTCAAAATTCATTTGGTTCAGTCATTGGGTAGTCCTATAGAGTAAGGCATCTGAACTTGGTGTCTCCACTGATTATCTTTAAGACAAACCCTAGGAGCATCAATATTTCCTCTCCCAAGTAACAGGAATTGTACTCTTAGCCATCACATGAAAGGCAAACAGACTGCTTACTTCCTCATAACTACACTTTCAACCACCTCTTCCAAAGCCAAACTTTTAGGATGCCTAAGTCCTAATGGCCTTCAAGACTCAATTTTTTGAGGATCTGACACCTTCACACTAATGCACATAACATAAAAATTAAATAAATTATTTAAAAAAAGACTCAATTTTTTCTCTTTCTTATCTTTTCAGATTTGTAGAAAGACTTAATTGTTTCCCAAACCCAGGAATGCTCTCTTTACGGCACTTAGACTTTAGAATACAGGCATTTGTAGATGTGTTGGCTTCCCTTGTAAGTTGGTGACTCTACTGAAAATGCAAGGCTAAAACCTGCTCTTCTAGAACATGACCAACTGACTTCATTCTTTGGATACTGTAGTCTACACTACTGCTCTCCTCTAGATTTGCTCTATATATTCCTGCACTTCTTCAATACATCTCATTTATCTCTCTATCTCGGGATTTTCAAGACAGGGTTTCTCCGTATAGCGCTGGCTCTCTCTGTAGACCAGGCTGGCCTCAAATGCAGAGATATACCTGTCTCTGCCTCCTGAGTACTAGCATTAAAGGCATGAGCCACCACAGCCTGGCTACATTTACTTTTGAATGGCTCTAGAGTGACAATGTCATTCCAAATGATCATTTTCCAGTATTTGAAATGGGGAAATAGTGATGCTATCTTCAGGGCAGCAGCAAAACCCTTCCCTACACAGTAGTTTACTAGCCATGCTCCTTTGCTTGTATTATCTACCATTTTTCCAAAAGAATAGAATTCAAGAGGGCAACATACTTTGGGTATATAGTGACAGGCTGCTGTCCTCTGCCTGGACACTCAAGTCCTTGTACTACAACTACATCAGAGTAGGACAGCTTTCTTGACTCCTTAGTCACCAGCCATACCAAACCTTCATTTAAAGCTCCCAAGTCTTTATTTATTCTTTTCTCTCTGTATGGTGCTAAGTATCAAACCCAGGGTTTGTGCTGGACCCGAGCTCACTGTGTAGCCCAGGCTAGTCTCAAGTTTCCCATTCTCCTTTGTCACCTTCCAAGCACGGTGTATATCAGCACAGCAAGCTCCTGATTCTCCACTACTTGATCTAAAAACTAAGCCATATCCACAGCTGACTCTGAAATCATATGGGCTTCATACATATCCAGCACTTAGACCTAAGTAGTGCCAGTATCATGAAGGAAACATTCAGTGGTTCATCATCTCTTTCCCAAGTCTTAATTGAAGCTTGAGTCATTATTAAGGTCCTCTTTCCTTTCATCCAGTCCCTTTCATAAACTTGAAATACATTACTTACTGAACACATAAAAGAACCCAAAGAAAGAGATTACTGAGTTATCCCAAACACAAAGTATTATTTACAAATACCAATTATGCAATGGGGACTATGTACGGCCCTGTAGACAGTATAGTAATCCTTGCAGGCATGCCAAAAGCTTGGTACTATATATGTCCCCAACTGACACAAAAAGAATTGGTCAAGTAACCTGCCCAACGGTACATTAACAACAACAACAACAACAAAAAGGTTACCTTTGTGAGTGATTACCTCTGCCTATCTTGTGGGAGACTGGGGTTCAAATCCCTGACAGGGAGGAAAGCTAGCCTTTACACTGGCTACAGTAATGCATGCCTATAATCACAACACTCAGGAGACATATCTCAGTGAGTCTGAGGCCAGACAAGTCAACACAGTGAATTCCAGGGAAGCCAGGACTACAAAGTGAGACCTCATGTGAAACAAACAAAAGAAATTTAGAACCGTGATGCCTGACAATAGACACTATTTTACAGTGTTCTTGACCCTTCTCCCATAACAGATCACGAGCTGTGGAACAGAAAGCCCAGGTTAATCCTAATTGGCAGCCCTAGCACAGCAAGTCTAAACATTTGGGCTATGTCTTTACAGGACAATCCCAGCAGCATGTAACACTCAGCCTGGAAAACAGTAATCTTGAGTGAGGTATGCCACCTACTGGCACACATGCCTTCACAGCAGCTTGTTCAAACTGGTGCCTCCATGCTCAGCATGTGAGTGACATATTCCATAGCATTCATCTTGACATCTTAAGATTCTATCTAGCTACGAAAATCAAATCTCCTAATACACCTTCACAAGTATCAAGCAGTTCCTAGGTACAGCCAAGTGCGAATTTCTGCAAATGAAATTAACTTAGATGGGATTATATGTCTTTTTATATTTTGATTCTGCAAAATCAAAATAATGTGACATGCAAAATCTGGAATAACTGGAGTTGCTTATACTTAAAAAAAATTAATCAAAAACCCCAATTTCAAAATTGTTCACTGTTACAAAAGTATCAGTCATGCCTTTTCAGCATAATGTCCACTGTCCTAACATCTGTGAACAGTGGGTCATCTGTAGATGATCTGGTAGGAGCTGTGCTGTGTGCTAAGAAAGCTCATATTAATTAAAATTCTCACCAAATCAGTAATTACAAGACAAAGGTAATTTTTTTAAAGCCCAGTGACATGTATGGTACTTACATTTTCATTTAGGTTAAAGGAAAACAATCCATATTAGAAATAAAGCTTAGAAACAGTAAAACAGCATTAAAGCAAAAACTTGGCAGAATGGCTGTAGAGTTCTGCACTCTGAAAACTCATTTGCCAATTCTATTTATTCCTAAGGGAAAGAGTCTTAAGTTTTCCTTATGTATTTCCTCAAGAAGCACCCTCTTCTTTCTTTTCAGAAATACAATTACCAGAAAGAGACAGCAAACACAGAATGCAAGACACTAAGATAAGGCACACTTCTTCCCACCACACTCCCTCTTGCCCTGTCACATTAGCAAAGCAGTACTACAATGCCTTCACAGGAAGAAGAGAAAGAAGGAAGTCTGTAAAGAGATGGGAGACTGCACATGTGTATGGGGTTACAAATGGATATAACCTAAATAGCATCCCCTCTTCAACTTCTGGGTGACTGGATCTGACCCATCAAGAGGACCTGAGGATCATATACCCCTGTACTGGACCTGGGATCCAATCCTCATGTAATTAAAAAATTCACTATACATAAGATGTTTTTGCCATTTTAAGCCACAGGCTGCCAGTCATGAGTAGACCGTAAAAGAATAAAATGTTCATGACTTGAATTTTTAAGAGAGACAAGAATGAAATATGGTAAACCATACGTTAGGAGTAGTTTTCTGAAATGTTTCCCATCTACTCAAAGCATGTTTAATGTTGCTGAGAATCCTTGCCTGAGATAATAGCTCTGTATTGCTTACCATTACCTAGGAAGCCATTTCCCCAGTCTCTCCCACACAGCCGATTTTGGTACCGAGAAGACATATCCATCAGTTGTAATTGCTGGCTAAGTTAAAAGAACTGCGTGACCTTGAAATCTCTCATAACATCAACATATTTTCACGAGCCCAAGTAAAACCACAGTGCACTCTACTCTCACTATATAAGAAGGGATACTGGAAACTACTGTCTGCAGAGCACCAGTTAGATATAACAGAATTAAGTATATTTAACAGTAAGTATTCAGCCAGAGTCAATAAATGAGTGTGCACATAAGTTGCATCGTTTTTTCAATAACAAAATCTGCTAACAATGGCATTACTGATTTTTTAAAGGAAATCAAGATATGCATTTCATTTAAGCTTAAAGGATATCAGGAAAGAATAAGAAGAACCAAGTCATAAATATCCAAAAAATGGAACTTAGCAGAAAGACTGTTGGTAAGTACACAAGGTTTTTATAGCCGACCAAAAACCTGAAAAAAAAAGGGTAAACATGTTAGCAAAGTAAGGTAATAGTATGACTTGTGCTAATCCAGTTCTAATTCCCCAATAACAACAAGAGTCACAGCAGCAGCAGCTTTCTTCCCTCTTATGTGTCAGTTTAACCTTTCACATGAGAAACTATACAAAAACCTTCCAAAAGTACATATTCTAGTTTTGCCAAGCTACTCATGACTACTTCATTCATAGCAACAATACATTTTCAATGAATAGGTTGTACTTTTATTGGGATATATCATTTTGTAGTTTTTTTCATATAATTTTTAAATACTCCAAAGTACAAAAATGTAAATACATGGAAATTCACCTTCATGTATAAGCAAGCTTTTGTTAAGAAGATAGCTCTGTATATGAAATAGCAGGTGAAGAAAACCTTTTTTTGTTTTTGTTTTTTTTTTTTTTTTTTTTGAGTTTTTTTTCAAGACAAGATTTCTCTGTGTATAGCCCTGGTTGTCCTGGATCTTGATTTGTAGATCAGGCTAGCCTTGAACTTACTGAAGCACTCTGACTCTGAGCTGGCTTGAGAAGAGGTCACAACCTGAAAATACTCAATGGCTAAAATGACAGTAGTCACCATAGCACTAACTCTCTCACTCCTATAACAGTCAACTTGATGTTCTTGTGTAATTTGTTCAAGAAGTCAGCACTGTAGTTTCAAAAGAAAAACATAAAAATGTCTTCCATATCAACCCAATATTCATAAACAAACATACTTTACCTAGATAGAACTTAAAATTTCTATCAGAAATGGCTAATGGTGGGCTACAAAAGGGGGTGGGGTGGGGGAAGAAGCAAGGGCTGGCAACTGGTACTTATGACAGGAACATTTGAAATATTTAGTTAAAAGAAAAAAAAATGCCCTAAGGACCATAGCTATAATTAAGGTAAAAGCATATCTGAGAAGAACCAAGGACCTCAACCTCAGACATCAGGTACATGCTGTTAGAATAGGTAAAAATGGAGTTTGCTGCAACCACCTCCACGTCTGAACTAAGATTTTACAAGGAAAAGGAGCATACTTGGTCTAACTAAATACTGCAATGAATTGTCAAATCTGCAAGTTTGTTATTTCTGACAGGTGTCACATAGCAGTCTGGATGAGGAAGTAACCAACTCTGCAGCCAAATAACAACAGAAGTATGCAGCTGCTTACCTCCATAAAACTGAAACTCTAGAGGAATATGAGAAAAATAAGGCAGGGTACCAACCTGCCATATGCATTTGACCCCTATCTGAAATATATTTACATGCCAATCATTGCAACTGAAGACCTCATGCAGTTATCAAACCAAAGCTATTCATATTATTATTCTTCAATAATTTGGATTTAAATAAAAACATACAAATAACTAAACAAAATGTTCCTGTTGTGGGTGATGACAAATTACTATCTAGCCTTTTACTGTGTCTTAAAAAACTAGAAAAACCTAATGACTGATTCCTGCTCGTTAGGCTTAAAATATACTCAAATATCCAATGGAAAAATCAGTATTTTTAAATCACGTTTTCTTAATCAGACACTTTTAGGTATATTGCTGTTTTTCAGAAATTTGGACTTTTAGTCCACATTTAAATTCTAATTTTTCTATACCTAGTGTTTGGGTTAATGACAAAAATTAGTGTGTGCTTATTCCAGAGAGTGCTGGTAGCAAAAGGCCTCTGGGATAAGCACTCACTGCCTCAGATGGCAGGCTGCTTCCTTCTAAATCTTCCCTAAGGATCATTATCATTGCACTGTGTCTCACTCGGTGAATGAGAATGTTCAGCAGCAGAAACAAGTCCTGCTTTTATGGGCTTTACATTATAGGAAGGTATGGTGAAGACAGTAAAGCATCAGGATGGCCTCACAAACGCTGGTTTGTGTCTGAACCCAGGCATGGGTGCCTTCTCCAGTTCCAAAAGGATCCAGTGTCATAACACTTGGGGCCAGGGCACCAGCAAGGTTAAGAGAATAAGGCTGTGTTTCAAAAGCACAAGAAGGTGGAGTACAATGTTGGGATGGAGAAAGGATGAGGGGCAGGGAGAGAATCTGGTTTTTATTCTGAGCATAACAACAAGCTTTAAGGATATTTTGACAAGAAAATGAGGCAGAAATGGATCTACTTTGACTGTTACATGGGGGTACATTACAGGGTTGAAGGCAGGAGACCAGCTAGGAAGCTTGGCAGGAAGTATTTATAAAGGGCTAAATGTTGGAAGTGAAGGCAAAGGGAGAATCAAGTATACAAGGAACTCAAGGATGACATCCACATTCATGTGAGGAACTGATGCCCTGTCACTCACGTGGGGAAGAGACTAGGATATGACATGACTGATTACAAGTATAGGTCATGTTCCAGATACTGTTCTAAGCATTTACATGCATTAGCCAGGAAGTGGGCATTATCATAATCATCCTCAGTTACAGATGAAGAAACTGAGGCACAGAGAAGGCGAATGGCTTGTTTGAGATCAGACTAAACCTGAATCCAGGCAATATGACTCATCAGTATAATCACGCATATTTCTCTGTGTGTTATTTTTAAAGAGAACTACAATGTATTTGCTACTTCATTACCTGTCCCATTATAATCAGGTTCCTTTAACTAAAAACCAGAAGCAGAAAAATAATTAGTGTAAAATTAATTTGAGTTAAAAGAGAAAAAAAATGGTGAAAAAAAGACATAAAATGGTTATAGAACTCTCTCCATCATTGACAAATTGAACGATAATGTATGACCCTCAATATTTATTTTCCAACAGTTGTCAGTTCAATCATATTACTGGGTTGAACAATTTGCTTTCAGCCCAAAGCTATGCTATTAAACCCTTTTTCTTCCACCATCTTGAGAATATTGTCACACAGTTTAGTAATATTTTTAGCTCAACATCAATCTGTGATACCAGCTGATCGAGAACAGAAATAAGCAGATACACTGGAAATGCAATAACCAGCCTTGCAAAGATTAATATACACACCTTGGAAACAAAGATGTCAGAAAAAACAATGCTACTAGAAGACATCCTTTTAAAAGCCAAGAATCTGAGTTGAAGTCCAGGATGTATCCAACAGCCCACAGGGTAATCATAGAGAGTATCAGCAACAGGAAAAGCTGTTGAGAGATTAGAGTTTTAGAACTTTATGGGTTATACCTCCTAATGATAATTAGTTCAGTACAAGAACTACTTTGTAAGTACAGAGTAACTTAACAGAAATAACAGATTTTTTTTCAAATTGCTGTCAAATTTAAAAATTATTGATTTATACACCTTAGAGACAACTTTATAAATTTGCTTAATGACATTTTGGTTTGTTTTTCTTTCCCTCAAAAATGACATTTTAAAAAGAAAACCGATAATTAAAAAATTCAAATTTTCAAAACTAATTGTTTATTTTTGAATAAAATAAATCAACTTAATAAACCAAGAATAAAGCAACTTAAGGGACTACCAAAATCAATATAATCAAGAATAAACTGAAGGGCTATAGTCACTGCATCTTGATCCCAACCTGGTATGACCCCTCACTAAGAATGCCAGAGAAACAGTTCTGAAAGGAGCAAGCTTGATTTGAAGGATGTGGACTTGTGAATGGCACCAGTGGAGATCCAGGAGGCAGTCTGTGCAGCAGGCTTACCATTTTTCAAGTCTTGAGAGTTATCTGCACATAGGTGGGAAAGTTGTAAATGAGCAACTTCCCCAAAACTGTGAGGGCAGAAGAAGAATCTTAGCCAACACAAATAGTCAAGGTTAAGAACAAAGCTGATTCCCCAAATGTAACCAAGAAAGACTGATTGGAAAGCCAGGCTGAAAACCTGGGAAAGAGGTTTCAGAGAAGCAGGAAAGAAAGAGGGGGTCATGGCGTTTGCTGGGGTGTGTGTGTGTCTCAAAGACTGAAATATTTCTTCAGGATGCTAATGACTGTGCTTACTCTGACAACTGAGCCAACAGGGCACTGGTACTGGGCTCCACATTTGAGCAACTCAATGCGCTGAGTTCAAGACTTCACAAAGCAAGGTGGGCTTTTGAGCAAAAAGGAAAAATGCACTTTGCCTTATTTGCTTCCATTTTTACTCCTATATCTGGGAGTAGATAATTTTAAATGGCATCAAGTCTTCAAAGTGTTTCCAGTTCTAACTTACTGACATAAAAATAAATTTAAAATCTATAATATAATTATAATCACAAAATAATTTTAGAAAATATTAATAATTAAATATAAACATCACAACTGTAAATCCTGGGACATAATCTTCTACAAGAGCCACACTATTCACTGCGGGACCCTGTAGCAAGGCTGTTCTACATATGGGAGACAATGAAGGGCTTTCTTTTTCTTTTTTAAAATATATTATTTATTTATTTATTATGTACACAGTGTTCTGTCTGCATGTACACCTGCACGCAAGAAAGAGACACCAGATCTCATTATAGATGGTTGTGAGCCACCATGTGGTTACTGGGAATTGAACTCAGGACCTTTGGAAGAGCAGCACTGAGCTTTAACCCCTGAGCTTTCTCTCCAGCCCCTTTCTTTCATGAAGCTGAAATTCCAGCTGGGAAGACAAATATCAAAGTACATAAAAAGATGAAATGTGTAGAGCTTAGCAGGTGTGCTAGCTAGTTCTAGGTCATCTTGACACAGGGTAGGTTATTTGGAAAGAGGGAACCTAAACTGAGAAAATGCCCTCACTAGATTGGCAGGTGGGAAGCCTGTGGAGCATTTTTAGTACTGATGACTGACATGGGAGGACCTAGACCACTGTGGGTGGTGCCAAAGCTGGGCAGGGGGTCCTGTAGGCCATAAGAGAGTAGGCTGCTCAAGTGAGGGATAACAAGCAAAATAAGCAGTACTCCTGCTGAGTACTACTTTGATAGCCTCTGCATCAGTTCCTACCTCGTTTCCCACCCTGAGTACCTGTCTGGACTTCTTTTGATGAAGGACTGTGAAGTGTAAGTTAAGTGAATAAACTTCTCTGCACCAATCTGCTTTGGTCATGGTGTTTTATTCCAGCAACAGAAACCCTAACCAAGACAGCAGGCGGCTGTCAGGAATTAGCACTTACTCTAGAATAACGGAGTCTGGGAGTCTGAGTCCATTTTCAAGGACTCATCTGATGGCCTAACATGGCATTGGTGACATGGTGAGAAGAGATCAAATTCTACATACAAATGAAAGGCAGGACCAAGCAGAACCATAGCAATATGAATATGGGGTCAGATAGTCAGAGCAGAAATTTGGAGTGCTACCTCCTGAGATGTGGAAGATGAGTGAAGGTGGGGAGGAAGAGAACAGGAATCCTGGTTTGAGCGTATTACACTACAGATGCTACTGTACACTTCCTGATGTGCTATACTGTGATGTCTACTGACAATGATTGCATGAGTCAAACAGGTGATTTAGTTTAGCAATCCAAATGGTCTATGCTGCAGAGAAGGTTGGGGGATGTCAAGATGCAGATGCCATTTAGGGGACGGATGGGTAGGAAAGAAGTTCTAGAAAAGAATCTTGGCATTCCTACTACTAAGAAGCTGGGGAGTAACCTCTCCCTCCTTCACCTCAACTGAAAACTATGCCTAGCACTCAGTGACTTTCGATGTAAAAATCTTGCATCTGCTAATCAAAATTATTCTGACAGTATAACTAGCATATTTGAGAATAAAAACATTATTTAACCCACTACCCATTTTATCAATGTGAATTACATTCATAACTATGGCTTAGTTTTCTTAGCCATTTATAAGAAAAAGCTGAAGTTCCTAGATCTTTTTTTTTTTAAATCTTTTATTTATTTTTTATTAATTACACTTTATTCATTTTGTATCCCCCCATAAGCCCCTCCCTCCTCCCCTGCTGATCCCACCCTCCCTCCCCTTTCTGCATGCATGCCACTCCCCAAGTCCACTGATAGGGGAGGTCCTCCTCTCCTTCTTTCTGATCTTAGTCTATCAGTTCTCATCAAAAGTGGCTGCATTGTCCTCTACTGTGGCCTGGTAAGGCTGCTCCCCCCTCAGGGGGAAGTGCCTAGATCTTTTTTTTTTAAATTGTTTAGCTTTAAGTTTAAACTTTAAATTCAGAACACTATAGAGAAGAATCGCTAAGTAAAAAAAAAAAAAAAAAAAAAAAAGTTACTTTCAATAGGAAAATAAATCTACAAGAAGACCAACAGGGCTGGACTAAAGTGGGATTAGTGAAATGATGAGGTCAGGTTCCAGACACAAATTGACTTTAGGACCAGCTGGAAGGAAACCAACATGGATACAGGGTAAGACTGACAGCATACACCACGACAAACAAGAAATATGCCACTATCTAAGGAGATTAGAAGGCTTAGTCACAGGTGGGCAGAACAAAAAGCCAGTTTTGATACCTCACATTGCAAATGTCTACTAGAGACTGAACTGGGCTCAAAAATCAAAGCCATTTTGCATTTCAATTCATTCCTTAAGTAATTAGCAAATATCCACCAGCTAACACACGGTGTGGTGCCTGAGAGTTAATGCTGAACAACCAGTGAAATGTTGTATTTCTTCCTTTGGGCTGGGGTACATGGGAATGATGCCATCAGCAGATCTACTGCAGCACAAAGTTTAATCTCTAGTCTTCTCTGTTGCCCTAACTGACAAAAGCTAACAGCTTCTGTCTGTTACATAGAATACCTCGCATTTGTGTAGCCATCTCCAAAGCCGAAGGTTTTTGTTGGCTCTCATCTTGGCTTCTGTTTTTAGCATGTGAATAATGAGCTGATTTTTACTTTGTATAGCCATATCAAGAGGTGTTTCTCCCTAAAAAAAAAATTATATTTACATTTTTGATACATTATAGGTATTAAAACTTTTCACCAGAATCATAGATTTGACACATTTATTCTAGGAGTAGCTATTATTGTTAATATTTATCTTGTGGCTTCTACAATTCAAATGAATAGCTACCATCCATTAAATATCCATCTGTTTTTGTTTTGTTTTTATTTTATTATTTTTTATTAATTACAATTTATTCACTTTGTATGCCAGCTGTAGCCCTCTCCTTTGCCCCTCCCAATCTCAACCTTCCTTCCTCTTCTCCTCCCTTGCCCCTCCCCCAGTCCACTGATAAGGGCGGTCCTCCTCCCCTTCCATCTGACCCTAGCCTATCATAAATATCCATCTTTTAACTGAAGATATAATAAACTAGAGAAGAAATACCAAGTCATACCTTAGCATTTCGGATGTCCAGGCTAGAACCAGCTTCCAAGAGCTTATCAACTGCACTGACATTTCCTGCTGTAACTGCCCAGTGAAGTGGAGTGTTCTGATGTGTTTTATCAACAACATTGAGAGAAGGATTAAACTTTAAAAGAAATCCAGTTGGTTCTGGCCTGTCTCAAAACAGTAAAAATAACACAAGGCATGAGTAGAGATGAAGATTTGAGGAGAAAATGCAAATACAGAAATTTTAAGGTTTGGGTATCATTTAACCAGTAAGCATTCTGAAGAACCAAGGGATTTCTCTTTAGAGTTCTATTCTAGTTATTAACATGAAAGATCAAATAAACAAGAAAGATAGTCCTTAAATGGCAGCCTGCTGTATCAATGCCATAATTTAGACAGCAATACTGGGGATAAAAAAAAATTTCTCTTCATGTTGTTGTTCTACTTAGTAATTAATATGTTTAAAAACTGTTAATTTAACCTTGGCCAAAATTAAATGCTATACAACTAAACACTAATTTTATCTTAAGCAGATAAACAAAAAGCTACCTTCACACTCTCTTTCTATCAACTACTAGGTACAGGTGTAAACATAGACTGGATATTCCTTTCCCAAATACTTGGGACCAGAAATATTTGTGCTTCCTTTAAAGGGTGCAGGTAGAGGAGATATTTTGTGATATCTGGTAGTCCTTAAGGACAAGTAGCAAATCTAAATTGAAATGTTTGCTTCATACATATAGCCTAAATTTATATTTTTAATGATGCTGTGTATTGTGTATGATGTGAAATTTCTATTAAAGATTTCATGTTGTCTAAAAGATTCCAATTTTGAACATTCAGGACTTAGGATTCTGAGATTAGAAGTGCTCAATTTTATGCTTTCCTGAAACTGATAAACTAAACTGGATATGGTGGTGCATGCCTTTAATCCCAGCACTTGGGAGGCAGAGTCAGGAAGACTTCTGAGTTTGAGGCCAGCCTGGTCTTCAGAGTGAATTTCAGGATAGCCAGGGCTACACAGAGAATCCCTGTCTCAAACAAAGAAACAAACAAAAGTGATAACCCAAAAAACAATGAATATTTTTTTCTTTACCATCAATACTTTCCCTTCCTTCAAGAGATCTACCCGATAAAAACAGTATCTGATTTCAACTACTCTATTAAGCTCTAACAAAATTCTGCCTACAGGGGCCCCTCTACATAAAAAGAAAACTGGGTTTTTACAACAAACCCTACTCCAACAAGAGGACTGTCAAGAAGACACAGACCTGGGGATTCAGTACAACGTTAGAAACAAATTGATAAAGAGAAAAGTGTAACATGCATGTGCGCACAAGGAATAATGACAGCTGGACCATATGGAGGGCATTAAGGACGTGTATTATGAGTATTATCTGATCGCATCCTGTAACAGACTCTTGTTACACACCAGGTCTATCAGTGTCTTCAGAGCAGTCAGCAAAAGCAGAGAACCTAAATTCACTGCTGTTAGAAAAGTGGGTTTATTATAGAGAGTTGTGATTATGAGGACACTTAAATGTGTCATCTTTTCAGGTACAAAAGAAGAATCAGTCAATTAATAAGCATACATTAAGGAATAGCAACTTTCAACCTTTCCATCAAAGCTACCAAGAGAAAAAGAAATGTAGTGCAATGGTACAACTCTTCAGCATGCACTAGCATCTCACAGACCAAGATACTTGCGATTATATTTACAGAAAACTCATAGGAACCAAGAAGCATACTGACAGGATCCATGACACTTACCCAATTACTTTGTAAGCTGATAACATGAGAGGTGTCTGTCCATTGACATCTGTCATATTCACACTCTAGTAAAAAAGGAATCAATTAGCAAAATTGTGAACATAATAAAGTTGCATTTCATAGTAGATAAATACGTTAACATATCCAGCCCCATCACTCTCTACAAAAAATGGTTCAAATATTATTTGTGTTAAAAAAAAGTGTTTTGCTTTTACAGGATAAAAATCCACAGATTGCTACAAAATATTTTAAAGGAGAATCAGAATATATGATATAGTGTGTCTATGATGTGAAAGGAAAATGGAATATAGTTGATAATCACCATCAAAAATGTCAGAGATCTTGAAGTCATCTAGTTTAAATCATGGACATGGATTCAAGCTCCCATTTATCCAGTAATAGTGCATTACCTATTTTCAAAATCACTTCTCTTTTTTGCACTTGCTTCAAATAGTTATTAAGCAAGAAAAATTCAACTCTTTATATTTTATAGGAGAGGACAATGGAAATCATGTTTCAATAAGGATATAGTACTTTCACAAAATAAGGCTATGTGTTCAGTGCAACAGTGCTCTGAAGTCAAAGTGTTTAAAAGCTTTTGACTTTTAAGTCCTGACAATTCTTAAGGCCATGAAGAAACAGAACTTGGGAAGAAGCACAAAGCTCTCCTTTCTCAACTATCTTCCTAAATGAAGCCAGGGGGTCATAATTATTTTACTTCACTGAGCTGTCTGAGACAAAGTGCTTTTAGAGGGAGAACAATCAATCCAATGGCATTTGTACAAATATGTTTCCAAACCCATTCCAAAGACTACTAATACACAAACCATCTTGCTGTCAGAACACACTCCAGCAAGCAGAGCTGACAGCAAAACTTCCACTGCTGATGGCCTATAATTTAACCTGTGCTCTGAAGGATGTCATTTTCATGGAATTACTAAGACAACAATAAATGAGACCCACACATTCAAACTGGCCTCCCATTTGAGCCCAAATAATGAAAGCAAATGATGGCTTAATAGTGATCTGACTACCATTTCTACACTCAAGCAGAAGAAAAATATAGGCTTTGAGGTCATGTTTTTGAAAAAACTCTGAAAATTACTGGTTTTGTAAGAAAAACTATTATAGGCTTACATGTTTCAGATACATTAAATGATGCTGAGCTAAAATAACCTGTCTTTCTCCCTCTAATGAAACAAAACCACCAGTGCTCAACAGCTACATTGGCTGTTAATTCTGAGTATATGGATATCCACTGACTTCCAGTTTAAAACTGAGGGTAAACTAGGGCCAATGATCTGCCTGATATTTTCAGATTACACTAACTGGAATATAAGGCACATTCAAACATACCTGTCCCTTTGAGATGAGATATGCTATGATGGGCATGTGCTGAAAGAGGACTGCCAGATGAATGCTGCTGAATCCCTCTCCATCAATCAGAGTGGGGTCTGCACCATGCTGGAGCAATAATATGACCATAGGCAAATGTCCTTGTCTATAAACAGAAAATTTCCCACAGTGTTATATTTTGTAGAAGTAGAATTCATGCAGAAAAACAGAAACTACCTAGGAAGAAGTTATACGACTGACTCTAAGACATGAAAGATTCTGGCTGGACAAAAGTACTTTTTTTTTTTTTTTCAATAGGAAGGTGTTTTAAATACTGGCAGTTGTACAAGTGTCTTTTATTCTTTTTTAAAAAAGTTATTCTTATTTATGTATAGGAGTGTATATGCACACATATGTGTGCATGCCAGAGGAGGCCAGAAGAGGGTGTCTGATTCCCTGGAGCAGGAGCTACAGGCGATTGTGAACTACGTCTAAGGTAGAGCTATGGTCTTCTGCAAGAACAGCAAGTGCTCTTTACCTCTGGGCCATCTCACCAGCCCCAAATGTCTTCTACTTAAATATTCCAACTCAGAATTACAGGATCATGCTTGGGGCAAATGATAAACTTGATAACTTTGCAATCTAAATGAAACCTTAGGCTGCTATAGTATGTGCAAGCAGTAATAGCAAATGACTAATGCTAACAATGATGACTTTAAAACTCTGCAGGCTTCACTGATGTTATTGAAACTAAAACATAATCATGAGCTACAAATATTATAGTATAATTTAAGACTATGGATATATCATGAAAATATTTAGAATCATATATAAATCCATATACCCAAACATAACTAATTTTCATGGAGAGTAACAACATCAGTAGCTTGAACCTAAATCCTTAGGTTCTTCAAAACTCTTGCAAATGGAGGAAAATTTAGCTCTCTGACTTTTAGTTATAATTAACTGTTTGCTTTAATTATAGCCTCACCAAGCAGAGTGAGTTAGGCAGAAAGATTTATTCCATTAGCTATTGAAGGTCAGTGCACCTCACTGCAAAGAAGAGGCTGATATCATAAGAGTTATGGTAAGCTGGCCTACTCAAGATTATCCTGCATCTACTTCAAAGGAATATACCAATTTGATATTAAAAGATAGAGATATAATTTACTTTTGAGAGAAAAATCAATCTCCTTAAAAGAGCACTACACTGAATTTCTAAATGAGCCACTAAGGTTGAAGATTTAGTTTACATTTGCACTACTGCTTCATTCATACAAACCAAACAGAAATGTTCATCCCAGTTTCAAAACAGAAATTCCAACACATTTGAGTCTGATCATCATAATGGAGCTCAGCACCAAATGTTAAAAACGACTCTTCTGGAAACCCTACAGCAGGACTTTACTTTGGGTTCAGGGGTGAGGGCAGAGGGAACAAAAGAAAAGCAACCCATTCCCTTGCCTGCAGCTGAGGTTATGGCTTGCTGCCAGCAGACACAAATGGCATAACTTCAGCTTTGAAAGACTTACCGGACAGCCCAGTGAAGAGGAGTTGAATTTAAGTCACCACCCAACTGATCTATCACAGCACCTTTGGAAATATAAAACCTGTTAAAAACAATGAAAATTAAGACGTGAAATTTAAGACTCATATTGAGAAAGAAAAAGCTTTCTTATCCCTTCCCCTCCCCTGCAAGACAAGGTCTCATGTATTCCAAGCTGACCTCAAACTTGCTAGGTAGCCAGAGATGAACTTGAACTACCTTCTGATCCTCTTGTCTCCACTTCCTGAATGCTGGGATTACCACACCTAATTTTTATGTGGGCCTGGGATCTAACCCAGGGCTCTGTGTCTGCTAGGCAACCAACCCAGTCCAACTTTTTCTTAGCACTACATGATAAAACAGAAATTATAGTAACTCTCCTGAAGGGCCCAAATGTAAAGAAGCCTCGTAACTATGTATGCATGACCGCAGTAGTCTAATCTCTGGTGAAACACTTAACAATATATACATAATTATTTCTGCTATAATTAGCATTTCACTACCACCCACAAACCCAGAACATCCTAATGACTATAGCACTCTTAAACAGCTTCAAAGTAGAAAGAGAAAGGTGAGATTATATCATTTTTAACAGTTCAAATTTAGAAGTAGTGTGTGGGAATGAATTCTTAAAGCAGTAGAAAGTGAATATAAAATCATTTTAGACAAATTAAAAATTATAAATGTTCTATTTTGGGAACACAGGGTATGAGATACTGTATACAGTGAACCTATAATGTAATGAGAACAATTTTCTTTTCTAATTTAGAGGTATACTTCCTTGCTTCAAAGGTGCTTCACATATTACACTCTCTAAAGAATATACCATGAATTTGCCTGTCAGCGTGATGTGTTTAAAGATTTTAAAGTAGTAATTTTTAATTTTTTAAGACTCAAGGATTTTACACATGCAGTCCTCTGAGATGAAACATACATGCAAATCCTTACAGCCACTATCATTTTATACAGTAAAGTAGAAACTGTTATGCCAAACAACAATGGGTAGGTAGCAGGGCTTTCTCTATGGAAAACTATACAAATCATTACATGCTCATTCCAAACTATATTCCACATTTAACTTTTTTCAAAGTCTAAGTGTCTTTCTATTTCTCCTGATGTTATAACACAAAACATTTCAATGCTTCTTTTAGAATTATCTGCAACTTTTATCCTGAGAAAGTTTGCAATGTTATTCTTTTCTTTTCAAAACACACCTCCTTCTACTTATTAGCCTTTATCTTTATGATGGGTTCCCTTTATGACTGGTCCTCTGCAACTCTCTGTTAACTGATGTGTGGCAAATTCTAGGTGCTCATTTACAATAGAAGACTACAGGTGGCCCAACACACACACACACACCAACACCAACACTAAAAAAACAAAACAAAAGAAAGTTCTAGAACCATAAAGACCAGTTCATGCACACATTCCACCTTACTTTACAAGCTCCAGCCTATTGTTAATAGCAGCCCAGTGAAGAAGAGACACATTTTCTCTGTCTGGTTGTCTAACATCATATCCTGCTTCTACCAGCTCTTTGCATCGTTCAAAAATTCCGTATCTTAAATAAGAAAAAGAGAAGCACAGTTAATACCATTACAATAATTTTGTATGTCAAAAATTTTCCCTTTTACCATAACCTTTTTAAAAAAAAAATATTTTAATACAAACAACTTTTTAGTTAACATGGAAATACAAAGCAGCTCTCCCTCCGTATCCCTGAAAAGTTGATTCCAGTATCCCTGCAGATGCCAACATCTGTGCATCTGTTCAAATACTTTACATGATACAGTGTCATATATAATTATGCTTATCTTACCACATACCTTAAGTCGATTATAGGTTACTTGTATAATATAGATGCCATGTAAACAACTATCATACCATATTGTAAAGGCAATCATAACAAAGTTTTAAAATTCTATGACTGTATAGTGCAAGTACAGGTGCAGTCAGTATTTCTTGAAAACATTTTGAACACAAGACTGGTTGAAACTGTGGCTGCTGAATTCCACAGTGGAGAATTCTTAGCAAGGTCTAACTCTAATTTGTGACAAAGGATCCACACTGTAAAGCCAAACAAAATTAAGCTCAGTGTACTAACGGATGGATTAATCCAGGTGGAGCTGAAGCAGACTTTCTTAAGCTTAATATTCACACCTGCCTTCCTTCGATAATTTCATTTGTCTAAGAACATATGGTCTTGGCTCTTGACTACAATCTTATCTCTAAAGCAAACTACACCTATGCAACTACTTTACAATGTAAGTGAAACCCTGAAAAAGCAAACTTGGAATGGGATAAATTCAACAAGAAATGGCCAGGATGTAGACCCAGGCAAGGAGGGAATGATGAGTCCTTCCTGGAGAAACAAAAACATGACAAAAATGCTGCATTTTAAGGAGGGAGGGCATTCTGGAAAGAAGCATGTACAAAAAGCGAGATATGAAATACTACATAGATGTCCAAAGACAGAATCAACTTAGCAATGATGAGCATAATACAATAGAGAGGGAAGGGTAGGAGGCAAGAGCATACAAGGTTGGGGAGACTGTAAGTTTATGTACAGTTCAGTGGGAAACCAAGAAAGTACCTTGAAAAGAAAATGGCAACATGGAAGCAGCTATATCAGTGTAAGAAGAGTTCAGAGACCAACATGGGAGTGGTAACAGTGAATACAGGTAAGAACCTAAAGTGTGAGGCAGACAACAGAAACAGAAAAGGTGAGTCTAGCAGATACTAAATCTGCTGAAGTATTTTTTCTAATGCTTCCATAACTTAAAAATCATTTATAAGCAACATTTGTTTTAACAGAAACTAACCATAACACATATTTTTATCACTTTCTCTGAAACGCATTTCTATTTAGAAGAACCTGAAAATTTCAGTTGGCCCTCAGAGGTCAAAACTCAAATCAACTGGCAGTACTTTTCTATGGTATTATATGAAAATGTTTCTTCTTGATAAAAATGTGCATGTGCCTCCATAGCTTTTTAAAGAGTAGAGGCACACACATGACACTGCTAAGTCCAAAGAATATGTGGAAGCTTCTGATGATGGCACAGCATCACAGCTATATAATCCATCCTTCTAAGGTCACCTTGGACATTTTACTGGGAAAGAGTATTCCTTTTATTTGAGAAACATAAGCAAACACATTATTGGTTATATAGAACGTTTGTCTCTCTGTTCCCTTCTCCTTCCCAAATATCTATCTAAAGCAGTGCTCAACCTGTGGGTCATGACCCCTTTGGGGAGGGACTCTTTTACAGGGGTCACCTAAACCATTATAAATATCAGATATTTAAATTACAACTCATAACAGTTGAAAATTACAGTTATGAAGTAGCAACAAAAATAATTTTATGGCTGGGGGTCACCACAACATGAGGAACTGTATTAAACAGTCTCAGCATTAGGAAGGTTGAGAACCACTGGTCTAAAGAGATCTATACAATGACTTGAGAAGGTCTAAGACCTAAGGGAAAGATAAGTTCTTACTGGCTTCCCTGATGTCTAGCATTTGGCACAACAGAGCTTTTCTGGTAACATAGACATTTTGATGTTTCTATTCTGATTAAAGCTAATGTTCCCATTAAGAACACTCATCTTAATGGGACAGCAATACAAACTATCAAATAATATTCACCCAAAGTAGTAGACCTGGGGTCTTTAAACTAACATTATATAAATTGGTAATCAGAATACTCAGGTAATTGTCAATATATGAATAAATATTACTTAGTGTTAAGGCTAAATAGGGTTTTACAAAAAATGATTCAAAGATAGTTTGGTAATACCAGTTCTTTCATAGTGATTAGATAAGTGTGACTTAAAATTTTCAAATTCATTTCTATTTTCAACACAAGAAACAGACCCATTATTTGTTTCAGGTGTAGAGTGAAAATTTTGGTTTCTTTAAAAACTAAGGTATGTTATGTGACTATGTTTTGTGTGTGTGTGTGTGTGTGTGTGTGTGTGACTATGTTTTTGTTTTAATCTCAGGTGTGGGATATGGGGCCACTTCAGATTGTCTACAGCAGCTGACTATAATGTGTCTCATGCTCTGGTAGGAGCATGCTTTGTGCCAGCTGCAGGTACAGATAGTTTGATTCTGGGACCTCTTGAGAGGGTATAAATGGGAGAGCCCCAAGAGGGCCTGTAGTGGCTGCTACTCCCCCGGCTGTTGCCAGTTTCTGCTATAATTGGTTCCTGCCACTGCACTGGCTATTGCTGGACTGCCAGATATTCTGACAAAGATTAGACTTGCCTCTAGGAAACAACAACCCTGATCAGCAAGAAGTAATTTAAAGAGGTCTACATTCCCTTTCCTCTCTAATCTTCTTTCTTGACTACCTAGTATTGGGGGTTGGAAGGGATTAGAGTGCAAAAGGTTGGTAGATGCAACAACCCAAATAAAATAGCTGAAAAGTACACCTGTACAAGTGGTTAGAGAATATTCTTCTGATTACCTGTCCTCCAGTGCCAGCAAACAAAAATGTAGGAAATACATGATAATTAACAATTAATATTCACAAACCTAGCTGGTATTTCCCATTTTATTTTTGTAATAGGTTACAGCACACTTTAAATTCAAATTAGTCTGGTTTTAATCTTGTTCCAAATCATTCATTTGTTCAGTAAACATTTTACCAGGCACCAAGAAAAGACAGAAACTATGCAAAAGGTCTAGGGTTACAAAGATAAAGGAGATAAGTTTTTACTAAAAAGCTGTTCACAATCTAATGACAGTACCTGATACAGAAATAGCCAAGGTATACTGCACTAAGTGCTCTGATGCTGGAATGGCAAAATACACTTGGTGCTGGTATGGAGCTGTTAGGATACAATGAGGAAGTCCCCATAGGGTACCATCAACTGTACACATTATCATAACTGAACAGGCTCTAAGGATAAAACAGAACATCTAGTAGACTCACTGTGTAGCTTTCACAATGTCACAGTTACTGGAGTCCTCTATAAGAGGAAGAATTTCTTTTGCTTTCGCAAGTTCTTTGTTTTCGTGTGCACAGATGCCATGTCGACCAAATCCTGGATGGTGGGAGCCATGGTTGTGATTCCTGCACTGAAGAGTAACAACAATTGACAAAGCAGGTGAAAGAATCAGTATCATAATTCAATTATGTAATGCAGCATTTGATATCACCAACAATACCCATGCTAACAAATTAAATTGCTTTAATCTCTTACAGGAATATCCTAGAGAAGATTTTATCTTAAAAGATACTTAATATTAGAAACATCCAAATTATGTCAACATAAAACAGGTCATCTGAAAAGGCACAAATGTGCCTTGGTAGTTGTAGTACTAGACAGTCATGGCTACTGATATTGTAGGAACATTACCAGGTTCTTATTTTCAGAGTTGTGGTGGGCACACCCTAAAAAATATTCTCACTTCCTAATGATCAAGCTCTTGCATTTTCCTTTCCCCCTGAAGATGGAAACACTCTGTGGCAAGGAATATGACAAAGTTTGTGGGATAATGTCTTCTCTGACAAGGTTAATAAGACTGTCTTAGCAGAGGCTCCTACTGGTTTTGCAAAAGTAGGCTGCAGTGGAACAAAAAAAGACTGCAAAAAGCCCAGGTGGCAAGGACTGAGGGTAGCTTCTAGAAGTGAAAGTGCCTCTGGGTGACAGTCATCAAGAAAATGAAAATGTTTATCAAATATCCACAAAAAGTTGAATTGTACTACTAACCACACAAGCTTGAGAAAGAACTCTAGGTTCCATAAGAGTACACAGATCAGCCATAACACCAGCTTGTCAGACCCTGGGCAAAGGATCCAGCTAAGCTGTGTCTGGACCTCTGACAAGCAGAAACACAGAGCTAATAAACAGGCACTCCAAGCTACTACATGTGTGGTCATCTGTGATGCAGCAACAGATCGCAAGTAGAGAAGTGACCAGAGTTCAGGAAGGGAATCTGGGTTCAGGCCAGTTACCAAACAATCAGCAATAGTGACAAATGTTAACAACTTCATTAAAATATCAAGTGAACAAGCATCAGGAAATGGGTTGAAAAGGATTAAAATCCTCAGGTCAAACAAAGCCCACTGAGTCACTTTAATGCCTCCCAAGCAAAGATTACAAAAAGATATTATGTGCTTATATTCTGAAATTTAAAAAATAAAAACATACTCTAAAGTTCAGCTCCAATGGTAGAAGACCTAACACTCATCATTGTATGAAAACCAATCAAAGTAATCTCTCAAACTGTTGAAATTCCCAAGCAGAAATAGTACTCAAAGTCAATAAATGCATTATTGCTTTTGTTAAGAAATGGTACTGAGAGTGGACTAGAGGCTACATGTCAGTAATAGAATGCTTACCTAGCATATATGAGGCCATAGGTTCAAGCATCAGAGACTGAGGCAACACTGAAGTAGAGGATAATTTCCTAAATTATTTTTAAGAAAACTAAGATGTACTTATCTACAATTTAAAGTTGATTTAAAAACCAGTAGCACTTACACCTTCAAAATAGCTTCCTTAGATGATTACTAGTTATTGCAATTATATTACATGGAAATGTTTAGCATTTTCTTCCTGAAACTGTCCAGAGCTATATGAAAAATCTAATGATGCATTTCCTGGTCCTTCTGTCTTCTCCACCTCCAAAGTGCTGGGACTACAGGAATGTATCCCCTATTTGGCCTTGACTGCTTCTTTTATACAATGTACAGAATAAGTAATTAAACGAACCACCAAAACTATCACCAAAGCTAAGAAACCACATTGCTGGCACCCTATTACACTGCCCCCAACACACAATTTCCACACGAGAGAAAGCTTCCTCATATTAGGAGTAACTGCTTTTGCTTTTCTTTACAGTATCATCCTTTATATATGCAATCCTAAAACTAGCTGTTTCGCTCCTTTAATCTGGTGAGGAATCATATTTGTAACCTTTGTTTTACTTAACATTAGACTTACAAGTCAATGTAAGAAGCTACATTTAGTTTATTCCTACTGATGTAAAATGAGCCAACATTAACATGCCACCATCAATTTACTTGCTTGGCCACTTACTCGGACCTTCCCAGTTGTAGCGACTGCAAACAATACTTACTGCTGTGCACGTTCTTGTGTATGCTTCTGGCGATCCATGCATAAATAACTTTTAACACTATGTACCCAGAAGTGTAACTGTCTGGCAATTAAGGTATGCTTAGCCCATCTTAAAATGGCTACGTCAATTAAGATTACCAGACCAGGGCATGGGAACTTTAATGGCTCTCATCCTCACAAACTGTTGGTGCCATCAGACTCGACTGTTGCTTTATGGGACTTCTATCTTGTCTTAGATGGCAGCACTGATGCATCTGAGTACAAGTTCTTTTCTTAGACATTTATAAAATAAAGTAGAGCCTTCTACTTTTGTGCACAATGCAATGACCAGGATTAGAAATCAGCACTGGCAGTCAGCCTGCTCTTTTAGAGAAGGCCTGGAAAACTAGACAAAATGCCTGAAATAAACGATTTTAACTATGAACAATAGTTTAACAGAAGTCAGAATATGAGAAAGAAAGTCTGTTTGTAAAGAGAGAGTGAATGAAAGGGCCTGGGTAGGTACGGAGGTAGGGAGGATCTGGGGGGAGTTGAGACAAAGAAAACCATGATCAGAACATAGTGTGTTAAAAAAGCATTTTTTTCAATTAAAAAAAAAAAGTAAGGAAGGTGGGTGAACTTTATCATGGACCCAAAACTTTCAGAATTATGGATACTTTTAGAAAAAATACTTGTGATATATCCAACCTGTGGCCCACCAGCCTCATGCACAGCAAGATACCTATGAATACCACTAAATGCACGCCAACAGGACATAGTAAACTTACTTAATACGTTGAGATTGGGGGTGATTATTTTAGGCAATGCTGTAACAACATTGGGTTGCAATGTTAAAAGGCCTGCTAGAGCTTCAGGGATTCTTTATAAACCAGAAGTCAGAAATAATACATGCAATAAGCTGAGGTGGCTCAAGGTAAGAACAGATTTCAAGAGAGAAATAAGCTAAGAAGGTAAGAAAGTATGAATGTGTGGGGGGTGGAATGCTGAGGCTTCAGCTTTGTTTTCTGCATATCTTCTAGAAAGTTTCTGTTCGAGTCTTTTCCACTCTCCCTTTTTTGATACAGGGTTTCACTACATACAGTTCAGCCTCCAACCTGTGATGATCTTACTGCTTCAGCTTCCTAACAACAGGGATAACAGTCATGTGCTAACATGTCCACTTTCCATTTTTTGTGCGATTTATTTTCTTACTGTTAAGTTTTAAGAGTTCTTGATGCTAAACAATCTAGATTAGTACTGCAAATATTTTCTCCTAGGCTTTCCTTTCCTTAAAAGAATCATTCATAGGGTGTTAAAAATATTGATGTCCAGTTTGTCAACTTGTTATTTCAGAGATGGATTTTGATTTTACACTCAATACAAGGAACTACTCTGAAATCACAATTATTCTGGCTACGGAGGAAAGTTCTAGTACCCATGCTGCCAGAAGATCTCTTTCTTGCTTTTTAAGTGAACTAGATTGCTCATGGTGCTGTCTACAGAGATGCCCTTTTCATGGCTCAAGACTACAACATGGGCAAACCAGAGGTGAGAAAGGTAAAATATCTGCTGGGCTCGCTGAATTTGATTTCTGTCATCTTCAATCTGACTTATCATTTACTTTTTCGGAGTCCTTAAGGAGATGTTATGTAGTCTTTCAGACTTTACATCTATATTTAATGGAGAAAGAGGTGTGCTTTTATCCCTTCATGTTACCCAGAACCATAATGCTCTTTTGAATATATCTGCTAAATAATCAAACGTAGAGTGATTCATAAGAAACAAACCAACCTGAAATTTCCGATGCACAGATCCATGAGTTAACATTAGCTGAAAAATACCACTATGTTTTTGAGTGGTCTGTTAGACCACAACAGATAACGAGAGCATCTTTAAGCTATAGGAGAATTATTATACAGTCAAATTATTTTTTAAAATAGTAAGTACTCTTGAAGTTACAGTTTACTCTGAAAGAAAATCACAATCTGGAAAACTCCATGAAGGTCATTAACTTACTAGCAAATAAAATGGAGGTAGGGAGGTATGATAGAAAACCATTAAAATTTATCACAGTATTAACAGACGTATCAGAATTAAGTTTCTAAATTTACTATTGGTTGAACACCAGTATTAGACTCTCATTTTTAATGCATGACACAAAGCAATGAATGTATCCACTACAAATCACTTCCCTCACAGCACTTATATACAGAGGAAAGAGAGCATCATCAGGATCAACAGCATATGACATAATTTAAATGCTGGGAGAATTATGAAACTGGGAGGTCAGGGACTACTGTTGTTAGTGATAACAACAGCAAAGACCTGTAATTTTAAGTATAAGGGGACTTAAAATGCTACATGGAGGTGAGATTTGTCTGAAGGCATTACAGAAATAGAGGAATAAGCTACATTAATACACAACAGAGTGCATTCCAGACAGAGCAAATCAATATAAAGGCCTGGAGTGCAGTGGAGATGGGAGTTTCCTGAGGAAACAAAACTGTAAAAGATGAGGTCTTTAAACTTAACTGAGCACCAGATCGTGTAGGAAAATTCTGGCAAAAAAAAACAATCAGCACTAAGAACCAAATTCAACAAAAGGAATGGTTTTGTCTGTTTTGTTCATGAAAAATAGAGCGTAACTTCTCAGAGATATTCAAAACACATTTTCTAGATTAATGAATGGAATCTCGGCTGTGCCACTTAGCTGCTCTTGCAGCATGTGACTACGCTTTCTTAAGTCTCAGTTCTCACTTTTAAAATTAGAAAGAATTACTTTTACTTAGCTCACAGGTGAGTAGTGAGGACCAAGAATGGGGTATTTCTAAGAATTGTAAATTCTTCTCATTATAACCGAAGAAAGTAACAATACCAATTATAATTAACTACACTCTATCTTGTCCCATCAACTTCAACCTCTAAAATCATCCTCTCCCTTCTGATGTCATGGAAACTTGAGTAGGGTTAATTTTCCTTCAGCATGAGGGAGTAAACTTAAGCGTTACAGGCTTTTATTAATGAGTGACAGTAATTAAGAAATGATGGCTACTCTTACCAACTTTGGAGCCTGAGAAAAACAATGAAACATAGTTTCATGTAAAGAGCCTACACCCTTTGGTAAAAACCCAGTCTCCCTACACATAATTTTATTTCTTTTAAAATGTGAAAACTCCCAATAAAAACACCTCAGTATGTTATTTTCTACTTAAAAGTTTCCACATCAAACTGGCTGAAGAATTAAAATAGAAATGTGACGCAGACTCTTGAGATTGGGAAAAAAAAATTTTTTTAAAGGAGTCCAAGCAAAGTGATTACCTCAAACTGCTTTAAAATTTACTTTTAGCTTAACTTGAATTAGAGCTGCTTCAGTTTTCTCACCTGTCAATGGGGGGGGGGGTTGCTTTTGATTAAGGACTTTGATGCTGGGATAAAAATATGCACATAAAAGCATGTGGCAACGCTAAACATTTGCTAGAATTGAAGAAGCTTGGAAATATTAAGAGTCTACTACATGCCAGTTATTAGACTTTAGAGGTCACACTCAAAATGGATAAATTCTTAGTTGTCTTGGCTTGTGTAGCCTTCTCTATGGCCTCCTTTGTCTTCTGGGACTAAGCTAGCCCTCTTCAGAGTGGAATCCTTTGGGATTTTGCGGATGGTACCAAGGAGCTTCCTTCTTCCTGTCTCCACAGCCTCAATGCTTTTCAAGGAGTAGGAAGGATGTGGGTGGGAACAGGAGCTAGGGCAGCAAAGGATGGAGAGAAGGCAGCAGCCTAGGCGCCAGGGCTGAAAATTACTCAACAGAACCCCTCAGACTCCAGGCCAAGGTCTAAGGCTGGCTGGGCCACTTGAGGTGTGTCACCTGACACCCTCCAGGTCCCAGCTGACTTAGGCGCCGGGGCGTGATGCCCTGCCGCCGAATGGAGGCTGCCAGAGCGCCCGCCCTTGCCTTGCGGCCGCCGCAGAAAACAAGCAGCATCTCTTTTAGTGTAGCCAAGGCCTAGGACCCGCCGTCCTCGCGGGGCCGCCTCACCCGGCCGCGGCTCGCGTCCCCACCGATGTACCCGCCCCGCCGCGCTCACCTGCGAGGCCAGCCCGGGTCCCTCCATCACGACCGGCGCCCGCCCGGCCGCGGCTCCTGCGCAGAGTGGCGGCCGCCGCCCGCCGGCCAGCACGCCTCGGCCGCTTGTCCCACTTCCGGCTCGAGCCCCGCCCCCGTAGCTGCGCGCGTTCCAGCGCTGCCAATCCGCCACCTGGAACCAATCCCCGCCCTCTCTGTCATGGGGGCGGGACCTTCTCACCGCTAGAGAACTGAGGGTTGTGTCCCGCCCTCTGCCCCGCCCCCGCTATCCTCTTTCCCTCAGCCCCACCCTTGGCAACGCCTCAGGTTCCCAATCTGGTGGCTTTACAGGTGCTTGTTCAGGCTGTTATTCCAAAGGCCTGGAGTGGGTTACCCTAAAGTTAGATGTTCTTATGGAAATCTCTCCCTCACCTCAGCCTTCCTCACCTGTGAAACAGAGTCAAGAACAACTTCATGTAAGCTATTGGAGATTGAGGGAAAGTATTCACAGTTCCTCAGCAGGGGTTTGGCAGATGAAGAACATCCTGTCTTGTCAACCTCCACAAGATGTTGACTGTTAAAATATCTGCTGCTCTTCAGTCCTGAGCTATTGAGCAACATCACGGCCTGTTTCCTCACAGAAAGCAGAAGCTGTGAGCAGTTGGGATTGCTCAGTGGGCAACGCCCTTGCCAACTAGTCTCATGACCTGAGTTTGTTCCCCAGGATCATGGCAGGAGGGGAAAAGTCTCAGTATTTTTCACTGATCTCTCTCCCTCCCTCCCTCCCTCCCTCCCTCCCTCCCTCCCTCCCTCCTTCTCTGTCTCTCACACACACACTACACAGAAACTTGCTCAATGCCACCCAATAAATTAATAAATGCAACAAAGTAAGTTCTTTTAAAAATAAAACAAGATATGTTAGTTCCACAGGGAAGGTAGCGATAAACTGGGCAAGCCTCACCCTGCCCCTTTTGGTGGACTGCATGAAAGTGCTGGCATGTAAGTCTTGTGCATATTGGTGGGATATGAAACAAAGATTCATGGTTCTTATCAGCGGGGAGCTCTCTCCTACCTCAGCATCCAGAAAACAATGGGCTTTCCTAGGCCAGCATTCAACACAGTTCTTTGTGGTAATTCCTTGATGTGTCTGTTATGAAGCCCAGCTGGGTTAGATCCTTAGAAGCTAATTCAGACTGGAATTAAAAATATTATGACTCTCCATCCTATAAACCATGAAATAAGTGTCTGGAAATAAAGTTCTGGGTTTACCCATGAAAAAAAATATTACTGTGAAACCATCAAATTCTAAGTGTATTGTTAATATTGTCAGCGGCCCTGTTGGGCACACCATCGGTTACCCACAAAGCCTATACGCACTGAGGATGGCATACATATTGTATTTGTCTCAGAACTCCCAGTGTTCAGAACAGTACTGAGACCTAGAAAATACCTATTATAATTACAATGAGTAGATGGGTGGATGAATGAATGTGTCATCAACTTTTATGATGCTACGCAGAGCAAACTGAATGACAAATAGAAGGAAGGGCAAGTAACTTCCTTGAGAGCCAGGGGAAAATGCAGTTAATTTGGATAGGGTAGGATGAAGCCTGGGGAGGGTTTCAAAGAGGAGAGAATATTGTGGTGTGGTCACTTCCTAATCATTACCTAATCAGATGTCTGTTTATTGATCACTTAGCGTGTTTTAGCAACTGTACCAGTGTTCTGCATATTATATTTAATCCATAGGATTGTGTTGACCGATTCCATAAACTCTAAACCAGCTAATGAGTGGTAGAGAGAGGATTTAATCCCATTTCTTTTATTAGTTAGGGCTTCGGCCAATGGAGTTTGGTTCTTTTTGTCTTAAAGGACTTACGATGCTGTTAAGCTTGACAGAGACTTGAAAGCTATTCCATGCCTTTGTTTTGATGACCAAGCATACTGGGAAAGTCTGCACTGAATAAATTTTAACACCCCACTTCTTAGCCAGGCTTCTGATTCTACTCTGCTCATTAGCTTTATCCCTCCAACAAGCTACTCCAGTTTAAGACAAGCATACCTTTGTCTAATTCCTCTATGACACTGAGCCTAGGGATGCTGCTAAATGCTGTCACTGACTCTTACCTTTGAAAATACCTTTGAAGACATGCCCCAGTAGAAAAACATGAATGTGTGTGCATGCTCCTGAAAGTGCCTGGGCTTGAATCATAGCTTCAGCCTTTAGTAGCTCTGTCATTTTCAAAATGTTGCTGTATCTTTGTCCTTCAGTTTCCTCATCTACTAATAGGGCACCAAATGATATTTACTTCATAGTACTGTTGAAAGAATTAAATGAACTGATGTGTGTGAAGTGCTTAGAGGACAGCTTGGTACATGGCTTTGTAAATAGGTTAGTTATTATCATAGCTGCCATGTTCCTCCACAGAAGTGGGATTGGGAGTACACTGAATGGGACCAGCTGCGTGCTGTTGTGTGAAGGGGAATAATAGAAATTCAGCAAGCCTGGTTTAAGTTTACACTCACGGTGTGTATCAGATTCCCGGAGTTGCCATTTAAAAGCAGCACTGACTGAGTGACCAATGTGCGGTGGAATTATTGTCACATAGATCTGAATGCTGGAAGCCTGAGGTCTTAGCAGGCTTGGGTTTTTCTGAGGCTGGTCTCATTAGCTTGCAGATGGTCATGCTTTCCATGTGCCTTCACATGATCTCCTTTACAGGTGTTTGTCTCCTAATTCCTTCTTCTTGTATGGGCAGGAGTTAAATTGTATTAGAGCCCACCCTGACCATATTTACCATTATTACTTCATATAAAAAACCCTATGGGCAAATACACTCACATTCTGAAGTACTGGGGTCCAAGATTTTGGTATATGAAGGGGGAGAGGCAGGGCATCCTTTTACCCACAACACTGTGTGGTTCTGAGCAAGCCGTTCCTCCTTTTTGTAAGGGTCCTCATAAAAAAATCTAATGATGCATTTCTTCTCCCCCTCCAAAGTGCTGCAACTACAGGAATGTACCCCATGAACATTCACCCTGTTTTTCTGTCTCTGCACTGTTCTTCCCTTCTTGTAAGGGTAGCAGTCACTGGTTTAGATCCCACCCTTACTCAATGTAAATTTGTCTTTACTTGATTATCTCTACAAAACCTAATTTCCAAATATAGCCCCTCTCACAAGTACCAGGACTTAAAACTTGAACATCTGCTTTTGGAGGGCACAATTCAGCCCACAACAGAAAGGGAGGGGAGGAAGGGGGAGTTCTCCCAATTCATATCTATCTGAGAGGTATGATGTTGGAATAGTGAGAAATGAGCTAAAAATAGATCTGAGATGAGAAGCATTTTCTAGAAAGAGAGGCCAAGGCAGAATGGGATAATGAGGGGCTTTGGATACCCGAGAGATAGTTAAGGCCACTGTGATCTTGGAGGGTTAGGGAAAAAAACAACAACAGGAAATTGAGATAAAAAGGATTCTACTATCTTGGCCAAGCATATACTATGTGATTCACAAGAATCCAGAGTAAATTTTCACATTATCTAGGAGAGTAGAAAATAATAAATATTTAGATGGAAGAGAGCAAGAATGAATGAGAGGGATGGGAAATAGCGAGACTGAGAGGGAGCAAGAGAGAGATAACTGGGGCCTGGATGACTGTTGGCCTCTGCCCCACAGCACAGCACTGCAGCAATATGCTTCTCTCACTGTATTGTAACTGTCTGTCTCTGCCTCCAATCAGTGGCTAGGAGAGCCTAGCTTTGAAGAAATGTTTTCTGGGTGAAAGGGGAAAACTTGTCAGAAACTCTACCCTGAAGACATGGTTGTGGAGGAACGGTAGAGGCAGATGTATAAGCTAGAAGTTAGCCTGGAGTTCCCAATTCAGCTGCTCACATGGCTCCTTTTCAAGTTCTGCATAGGTCCCTACCCCTCATATGACTGGTCAGCACCTGTTCAATGGGCTTCCACCAGAGGCCCATAGGGCTGTACAGGTGCTAACCAGTCATATGAGGAACTCAAATGTCTGGGAGCTTCATATAACACAACCACGAAGAGCTCACAGGACTAGTATGTCCCCAGGGTAGAGTAGTTCAGAACAGAGAAAGACACCTGTCACCGTGTCACCTGGTAGGAAACTTGAATGGAAGATGCTATAGGCCAGACTTCCAATTGTGATCAGAGGTGGGCCAATTCACAGAGTCAGAGCTTCTTTTTCCGGGTCAGTTTCTTCCTCCATTAGAGCTGCAGAAATTGAACCTGGTGATGAAGCTTTGTGGGACAGAGGAAGAAACACTGGGCAATATTCCCAATGTCCTTCAGGTCTACACAGCCATGACCAGTACAGGGCCTCAGGAAAGACAGCCAGTCTCTGGTTTTAATTTCCTTTCTTACAAAATGGCTCTGTGGATGCAGCACATCTAAGTTCACTTTGGAATGTGGTACCATGGGAAATCTTCCTGTGTTGTTCATCTTCTGGAACAGACAAGAAAGAGAGAATTATCAGTTACAAGGCCAAGATGGTTTGAGCCCAGCCCCAAACACCTGTAGACACCTATGGGAGATTGTCCACCAATGAAGGACAAGGTGGAGTTCTGCCTCCAAAAGAGAGAAACACTTTCATGATGGTATTTTGTACAGAATCTCTGGTGAGGGACACATCAGCAAGGCAGAGGAAGACAGAAGGAAGTGCCCATGGAATACCGCAGGAGTGAGCTTCTCCCTCACTTCCTTTAGGTAACTCACTTATACTGTGAGGAAGAATATTAAAATTGGTGAAAATATTTCCAAATTAGCAGAATTATCCTAACTGTATAAAATGGAGTATTTTGAGTAAAAGCATGAAACTAAGAATTCTGGAACCTCTGGGGTGGATTAGAACAGTTACAGGTATGATGATGTTTACAAAAGTAATCAGCACAAATGATATAATTTTCAACCAATGGGTAATTTTGATTTACATGTTTATTTATTTATTATGTATTTTATTTATTTATTTTTGATCAATTTACCAGCTGGGATTGACTCTGACTTAGAAGGACTCTAACTTCAGGGAACTCAAGGCAGACAGAACTCAAGAAGTAATTTCAGGGTCAGTGT